AAACATTGACATCCATTCAGTTTTTGCTGATTTTGAATAACCTGTTTAGTTTGGAGTCGAGTTCTCTAAAGTCCTGCTAGTGATGTAAGATCTGCAGCAAGACTTGAAAACTCATGGGTTCATAGTTGCTCTTACACAAACTGATTTCACTCACCAACATCCAGATGTCAGATGGGAAATCTCACAAAACATCTTGAGATTGAACAAACAGGAAGAACCGATTGCGATAGTTTGTGGAGTCCCAACACTTTGGGACTCCAAAGGGTTGGAGTCCCAGTTGACGGCGTTTCAACTAAAGTTCTACAGCTTTTTATTTCTCTTTCTACGTTTTAATTATGTTTTTTAAATCTCTTTCTCTTTCTTACATGCTGTTTTTATTTTAATTATGTAAAGCACTTTGAAATGCCTTGCTGCTGAAATGTTCTATACAAATAAAATTTGATTGATTGATTGTGGACTATTTAAAACAAAAACAAAATGGAAGTCTCCAAAATCCACCGGATTTTCTGATGCGCCATGCCATCTCGCTTTCTGATTGACTGCATGAACATTGAACGGGGCATAATTTGAGATCGGAGCGGTCCTGATGTTCTTCCAAGCAGACTGGATCATTCATGGCACACGACACACTGCAGGAACGTCTCCTAAGATTATCTTTAGAGCCGTCTTAGGAGATAAGATGGCTCTTAGTGTCAAGACTATCAAATTGGTGTCAGGTAGAGACAAACCCTCTAAAACATTGGTTTCAATTCCAACCGTGGTCCTCAGGAACCAAGTCCTGCATGTTTCAGGTGTTTCCTTGGTGATTAACAGGCTACCGCATCCCTCGATGGCATGCAGAGGAGATCAGACAGTCATTTGAACAGCGATCCCTGAGGACCGCTGCACTGAAAAACCTGCAGCTACAATTGTAGCAACAGGTGCTAATACTATTCACCCAAATAAGACAGATGATAAATTATTTCAACATTTTCAGGCAAATAATACATACTCTGTTGGTTATAATGTGAAATTCCAGTGAATTACATTCCAGTTTGTGAATTTAATGGGATAACATGTGAGTAAATGAATAAAGGGGTGTGAAAACATTCGAGAGGCGCTGCTTGTACGGCACGATTTGAAAAAGAAACCATCCAAAGGCTCGACTCTGTTCAAATCCAGTGCAAACGAGCGATGAGAGGTGCAGTAAGTCCCTCCCATCCACGTATTTCTCCGCTTCTGTGAGCCGAGATCTGAACGTAACGAACCCAGAAGGCCTGGATGGCCGCCTTTGAATACTAACCAAGTGAAACTTTACACTGCAGGCAATGCAGACAGATATGCAGGCAGCATTTAGTGCTGGGGAAAGACAGTGGGAATCTCCCTATGGTACCCAAACAGATTTAACAGTCCTCGTTACCAGGGAAACCGGCTGGAGGCACTCCCTGTTGAATAATTGATGAGCGGGTGTCGCCTTACGATCTCCCCTCTCTCTGAGCTTGTAGCGGGTTTGAGCCTCAGTCTGAGCCTGAATCCGCTGCCGGAGCAGGAGAGACCTCTAGTGGCTGAAATGTGGAATTACAGAGATCAACAAAGCTGTTCTGGAAAGAGGAAAGGAGTCGTTTTCTGATAATAAATGAAGCTCCTGAACAGAATCCTTTGTTCCTTCGAATGGCCGACAGCAGGGGGAACTGACCTTCCTTGTTTTCCTCCATCTGGACTTCGACTGCAACATTCAGTCAAGTCGATGTTTATGCGGCAAGTGATGTTTATGCAATGTCTGCCCACGTGTGCAGCTGCCTTCACCGCCTACCCAGAGCTCCGGCAGAGGGACGCACGTCAACTTTACGACGGATCCTGTTGGTGTTTCTGATAGAGATTTAGGTTTGTGCTTGAAGAGAGAGAAGTCACCGCTGTAATGCTCTGATTGTGGCGTCTAAACACAATCGCACAAACCCCATAGTGGTCTGTCCTGATTTGTGATGCACCTGAGATAATAAAATAGTTTTGAACCAATCTTAATTTCTCTTTCTGTTCGTCAGGAATCAGACATTGTTCTTATTTTTTTAGAGGTTGACTTTTTGATATTTCTCCAAGCTTCAGAAGGTTTTCCAAGTTTTGCTTTAGACTTAAGACGGTGTGTACCTGCTTATCCATACAGTGGTGGTTGGTGCTTACTTTTAGTAGTCATCGGACAAAAGGCGCCGGTTCATCACAGGGCAAAACAAGAGAAGAAGAAGTCCTTTGACCTTTTGTTTAGGCACTAAGGATCGCCATGTCCTTATGTGAAATCAGTTTCCTTCGTAAGATGGCTGGATTGAACCCAAGATACGAAGAGTCCCTCCATCCTTTCTGGACGGGCCTCTCCTTTGAGACGTCTGCAGAACGAGCGAGAGAGTTTAGTTGGAGAACGGGGTATGTGGGTTTTTCCACCTGGACCTGTTACTTCCACAAGCAGAAGACAACAGATTGATGAAAGACGCATTGAACCTGTAAAACTATGAAAACTGCATCTCAAGATAAATTTAAATAATAATATTTCTATCAATCAAACTGTGTTGTCTTTGGTTTAATTTAAAGATCCAGATAAAAAAAATAGGAACTAAGTACATCTGTGTAATGTCTGAGGTTAGTTTTTTTGCCAAGTCTACTATGTCAACACAACACTCTGTATTTATCATTGGAGTTTAGGTAAGATAATTTTATTTATATAGCACATTTTCAGCAGCAAGACAGTTCAAAGTGCTTTACATGAATTAGAAGGAAATGCAAACAAAACCAAAAGAAAGACAAACAGGTAAAACTAAATATTGGTTCCATGTTAAGTAGGAATAAGAATAAGTAGTCAATAATTTATAAACCAATTGGGTTTTCTCTGGATCTCCAGTTTGTTCTGGATTAGTGAGGCATAAAACTAAAAATGTTGGTTCCAGTTGTTCCAGGTTGCTAAGTTTACGACCTTTTTGTGTACATCTGATCAAATCTTAGTCGTTTCCACAGCAAACATCTTTCTGAAACCGACCAGGCACAAAGAAGGCTGGAGAAAAACCTGGAGGGCTACAAGCTACAACGGAGCCCGTCTGGTTGGAAGCTTAAAGACAGGAGGGATGACTCAGGAGTTTTGCGCGGCTTTGTAGCTCCGCGTTTCGTCTTGTTGTTTGCTTCTAAAACCAAGCCGAAGCAGGAAAGTCCCCTCACGGTGACCTGGCCACATGGTGTCGGCTTTCCCCAGTCTGGCCTTGTGCGCTGGAGAAGCCGGAGCTTCTATATACAGACCAGATATATTTATGTTTGGCAGCTCTCGTGTCTGCGCCTCGCGTACGCCAAGCGCTTATCATCTGAAACAAATAAAATCCTGGCTTGTTTAGGGAAAACAACCAGCTAGTGAGAAATGTTCTGATGCTTTGCGTGACACACCCTTGTTGTGACCTTCAAGTTGCACCACACCCACGCGAGTCCATCCTGTTGCATGATTAATGCAACATCTTGAATAATTTAAAGTCGCGGTGTGGATTCTTTTTAATCGTGTTGACAGGAGAAGCAGTTGTTTTTAATGCTTCTCAGTGTTGAATGTGGAGGTAATTGCCTTGTTTTCTTATAGTTTAGAGGGGAAAATATGACAGCAAAGTGAGAACCCTCCCATTCGATGTTTTAAATAGGTGTGAACACAACACTGAGATTTCATGAGCATTTAAGAAAACTTTAACTTGTAGAAAAGGTTTAGTGTCTTATTTATGTGTCTTATTCCTCTCCATTGTATCGCGATAAGAATTTTGATTTATCGTCATGATACATTTCAGTTATTGATGTTAAATTTTTAAAAAAATTTAAAAAGATGACGGCGTGATTGGAAAAGTCATTTTTGCTATTTTCTCCACAGCATTTACAAGAAAAGCATAAATAAATATCGATAATTTCAAAATTATAATTGTGACTGTTTGCATTTTAGTGATTTAAAGCACAATTTTGTAAGTGAGAAGACTTTTTCAGATGAATATTTTTCAAGGACAGTGTTTGTATTTGTGGTACTATGAATGCTGTGCCACCCAGTTATCACCCTGCAAAGCTATTTATTACCTAAAGGACAAGTAATAGTAATAAATAGTTTTTTGTATTGATATTTTTATCATTATCACAATAGTACCACAAAATATTGTGACAAAATTGGCCTTTTTGTCATATTGCCACCATAAATAATGTATTTTATTGTGATTTTATGTGATAAACCAACACAAGCACAGCTGCCTTCACTGTAATATCCTGAAATAAAGACAATCCAGTGCAAACAACTGTTTGTCCACTTTCTGACTAGATAGATTCAAGCTTTCGATACAGTTTTATACACTAATCTTACTTTAAAATTATGGTTATAACTTAAAATCTGTAAAAAGGTATCTGGTGAAACCCACTGAGTCTTGGCTTGTTATTCGTTTTTTTGTTTTTTTAGATGACAGCAGTCCCTCCTACTGGGTCAGGCAGGTTAAACAATAAGCAGCGGACACGTTCACTGCTGTAATCCTGATTCTTGGACTGTTTTCTAACCTCTTTATTTTTTCACACCCCAGAGTGTGATTTTTGCACCTAAATTATTTCTGCTGTCAAAGTGAGAGATTGACAAAGATGGTGTGAACCGATTGGCGTTTTTATTCATTCTTTTTACTTATTTATTCCTATTTTTGTGCGGTAGTCTGTCATGCAACTCTAATATCATTATCAGGGGTTGACTGACAGAAATCTTCAGCTGCACCCAGACTCGCCTTTGAATGATGGACTTGGATGCTTCGCAGTTGGACACTTAGTCTGCCAAATAAATGTCTGTGGTGCTTTGACTGTTTTCTAATTAAACATAAAGACTTGTAGCTGCTGAATATCCTTCACAACTTGAGAATAATTAATTGAGCCTCTTGGGAAAACTTTAAAGGAACTAATGAGCTGAAAAATGCACCGTTTTAATTCCTTGTCTGGTTTCATGCTATTTCTGCTGATGATTTCATGATGGTTTTTGTCGTTTCCGTCCACAGCGGCTGTGCTGAAGTACGAGAACAACGTGATGAACATCCGACAGTTCAACTGCTCACCTCATCCCTACTGGCTGCCCAACTTCATGGATGTTTTCACCTGGTCTCTGCCGTTTGTCGGGGAGAAAGGCAAGTGCCGCAGTCGCAACATGTTAAAGGGAGTTTATTTAAATTTCCTAAACAAATGCGGCGAAGGCTATGCTAGTTTGCATGAAGCAAAAAGCTGATTGATTAATAACTTTCTGCCGCTTCTTTAGATGAACAATAAAACCAGAGTTTACATACAGCTCGATTACCGTCTCCTTAAATGATGAGGAAAAGCCCAGGTTGTGATGTCACTGCTTTGGAGGCTTCTGGTTGGTCAGCTGACACATTTGAGTTAATTGCCAAGATATCAGGAAGAGAATTATGCAGCTGCACAAGTCTGGTTCACCCTGGGAAATGTCCAACTACTTCATTGTCCAGGAAGGAGACGGGTTCTGTCAAATCAGACCCAGAACAAAAGACCTTGACTGAAGCTGGTGAAACAGAGAGCACAGCGAACATAAAACAAAAAACAGACTGCAGTTTGCAAATGGAGATATGTCCCGTTATCTGATGAAACTAAAGTGGAACTGTTTGTCCAAAATGTCATTTGGAGGACATTAGTTTCATCCTGTGATGGTGATCTGACATCCACTTTTTCTCCTTCTGTGGATAATACCGATCATTTTTGAGTCACTGAAGAAATTCGAAATGCAGTTCTCTACATTTGCCAGCAGGTGGCCTAACCTGCCTTTAGAATCACAAATAAATGATTACACTGAAACGTTTTTCTTCTACATTAAAATCTTCACTCTGTAAATCTTTGAAGCCTTTTTTTTTCTTTTTTTTTTTAGTTATCAGCCTTTCTTTGCTTCACTTAAACTGGATTCCTCACCAGAGTAGCCAGTCTCATCAGGCAACATCTTCTGTACTGACAATGAAGAAATTCTGGGTCATGTAACATCAAAATGGAAGATTTATATTCATTTCCTTTCTCTATTCCAAGTTATTTTCCCATCAGAAATGGGGCTGCTGTAAAACCATAGAAGAAGAACTACTAAAGCAGCAGAGAGGGAGGGGCCAGGATCCAGTTGGGATTTATTTAATTTTCCTATTCAGGTTCCTGACGGATTCATATAAACAAGAAGGCAATGCTTTTGTTAGTTTGTATATCCTGTGGTAGCTGTAATAAATTAAATAAGAAACATTTTTAAAAATACATGTATTGTCCTCCCAGGTTACTTTGTTTACGGCAAATGAAATGGAAATTCTTGGTCGTGTGAAAACTACTTTTTCAGGACTGAATTAATACAATAGAGCTTTTGGCAGTGGGCCAATAAGCATCTGATCTTTCTGCACAAAAATCTAAAATGTAGATTTTCCCTGAGTCTAGCTGTAAGGTCTCCTTTTAAATGCAAATATGCAACGATTTAAAGAGAATGTTTGGGTTAATTAATAAAAAATACTTTTTGTTTGTGCATACAGGATCTGGTTTATCTATAGGTTTGACCCTGTTTGTTCTCCTCTGTAATCAAAACCTCTTGTTCTTCTTTTCTTCAGTGACTGAGATGCTCGTGAACGTGTTGAGCATTTGTTCCAACGACGAGCTGACGACTGACGAAGAGCTGGACGGTGAGTGCCGCTGCAGTTTCACTTCAGCTCCTCTAGAGGGAGACATTCTGCCACTCATCTGTTGTCTCAAACCTTAAACTTCCTCCTCAGGTTTAGGTCCAGAGAACCTTTGGCTTCAAAATGAAAAGCAGTTATTTGAATGTAAAGTTGCTAGTGTTGTGTAGCACTTCTCGGCTGCTGCAGGGTTTTTGCCATCGTGTCAGAGGAGGTTCAGTTTATCTCCAGTCACATTTTTTCCAGTTTTCCTGCGTTGACCCTTATAGGCAAACAGGAAATGACCTCACCCCGTCTTCCTCCTCCTCCTCCTCGTTTTTGCACGGGGATTCGGCGTTCGGCTGTTTCTCATACAAGTCGCATTTTTTAAATTTCTTAGTTTGCGGATCAAAAATGTTGCTTTGTTGAATGAGTTTACAGCCTCCGGCAAATTATTTTCACTTTCTCCAACTTTTACACCTTTTGTCACGTTAAAGAGCTGAAAATCTAATGTATTTTATTTAAATTATGTGATGAATTAATACAAAGCAGTACATTGTTGCGAAGTGGACATGAAATGAGGCTTAAAATCAGTTTTCTTTACTGTGATACCTCTAACTAAAATCTATTATAATCAATTGCTTCAGAAATCACTTGATTGGTAATTTAAATAATTGGTAATGTAAACTCTGTATAAATAAAGCATTTCTGTTGGAGAACATTAGTAAGGGCTTAAAGCAGAGTTTGATTTTAAAATAATGTCCCAAAACATACTGGACTATAAGTCACCATTTTTTTTCCTAGTTTTGCTGCAGCTGCTCTTTTGACTGATCTGACTTATGCTCCAGAAAATTCAGCAAAATAAACTGCATTAGATAAAAGCGTGACCGTGTGTTAGAATGGCCTAGTCCAGTGGTTTCCAAACATTTTCTGTGCCCCCCCTATGGATTACAAATGGCTGCCTGATAGAAACACGCGTATGAGGGGGGAGGGGGGTATCGGGGCAAAATGAATGTACGTAGCTGAAAATAGACACCAACATCGGTAGCTTATAAGGTACTTGTTAAGTCATCTTTTAGCTAACATTACCTGCATCCAACAGCTTTACTCAACTCAGTCGGTTAGTTTGGAGGGAAAAACTGTGAAAAGTTCTTTGCGTTTTGCTGGTTTGCTGCCGTGATTCTAACACAAACCTACGTAGCTCCACAGCAGCAGCAGGTCTCCTTCACAGGTGGAAACCCAGCGTTGTAGCGCTCATGTTGCGTTTAAAGGCGGCTCGGAAAAACAGGTTTCCACATGTTAACAACGGATTAAACAGTTTTAACTGCTGATAAAAGTGACAGAGGACACAAATATGGGAAGTGTGGAAGCCTCTACTGTATCAAATTGACATAGGAATAACAGAGAGTTGGCCATTCTAAGGTAAAAACCCAGCGCATACAGTGTTCATGTTTTTTTTGTTTTTTTCATCCAGACGGCTTCCCGCGCCCCCCCTGCAATGACACGGCGCCGTCCCTAGGGGGCGCGCCCCACAGTTTGGGAACCTCTGGCCTAGTCAAAGGCCAGACATTTGGTCCAGCCGAGAATCTGGCAAAGCATGAAAGTGGCTGTTCACAGATTCTCTCTAGATGCTCAAAACTGACGGAGACATACCACAAAACATGCATGCCACACTTTTCAGATACTTAACTGGAAATAAAATCTTTAAAAATAATAATAATAAAATACAAGAAAAATGTTTGTGACAAAATGTGAATAAGTTCCAGGGGTGTGAATACGTTTGCATGGCTTTGTAAATTTGTTTTGTATCTGGAGCTTCAATTGTAACAGTTTTTATAATAATATTTATCCAAGTTGACTAAAGTAAATTTTCTTAGATAATATCAGTTTATTCAGACTTCAGATCACATGAACCGGTTTTTAGCCGTCCTCGGTTTCATCGACTCACTCCCTCAGGGATTTCAGACTCTCTCACTCCATTTCTTTGCCTTTTTCTTCACTTTTAAAGCCACTTCAACTCTTTTTCGTTTTCAGTTGTCAGTGTTGCCCTTCGAGGTGTTTAATTATTGTCCTTCCTCGCTCACCTCCGCCTTTCCAGTCCCACTGTGATCTCTGATCATCTTCTCCCTGCTGTCGTTTCCGTGATTCCTTCCTTCTTCACTCCATTCTCTCACTGCTCTTCTCATGCTGGAATATTGTCACTACTTTGGTTTTGCTCATCTAATCTCTTTGTTTCTTCGTGTTTTGCAGAGTTTTTCCTTTTCATTTGTTGTGCTTTTTCTCATCTCTCCTCCGCTCATCTTTCATTCTGCGGCCATCCACTGATCTCTGTCCTCTCTCTTTGCCTTCTCTTCTGGGGTTGTTTCATGAGAAGGACAGCTAATATATCCCCCAAAAAAAGGTACAAAACGCTAGTCGAGTCCATGTGTGTACGCAGCATCGGCTGAGCCTCCTGCCGTTTGTGAACTAACTTCACTCTCCTAACAATCTGTCCTGAATCTCTGTGGTGGAAGTGCAATAGTCTTACGAACCAGTTTTTAGCTAGCAAAACGCCGAAGGTGAAAACCAACAAAGAGCTTCATCAGTTCTCTCATTTTTACTCCACTCTCATCATTCTTTCTTTGTTTAATTTCCCAAAACTGACTCCCTGAAGGATTCAAGCTGTTCAACCAAACAAAACAGGAAAAATCCACAGAGCCTGGGGTCGTCCAAACATGCCAATCTGACATGTTTGGACACAAACCAGGCGTTTTCACAGAGGATGCACGCCGCTGCACCGAGTCTGGGGAATAAACGCTAGCATAGAGGAGAGACGCGGTTGGCATGGCAGTGCTGAGAAACGCTCAGGTGCTGTGATGTGTATAATCTGGTTTTTGCGAGTTTAAATAACAGCACTATGGTTTTCATGTGTTGCTTTTATTGTTAAAACTAATAGTCCGACAAAACGCTCGTTATCTGTCCGCTGTCTGACGGCACCAGCCTGGTTTTGGTCGGATTTTCACGTGGCTTCCATGAGCTGCCTTCAGTTACTGATTTCCCATGAAGGAATGATTACACAGCACACAAATTATCCTTTTTTCTTTACAGACTTTTGATCATTTGGTGATTATATTCAGCTCTCGAAAAAACTTGCCAACTTTGCATTTTGTGGGTAAATAATGACACTTTTTATGCAAAGTTAGCACTTTTATTGCAACTTTTAAATCAACTTTGCATTAAAAGTGTCATTATTTAACAAATGACACTTAATGACAGCAGTCATAAACATTCATAAAGACTAATTCATGTTTACAGTGTCATTTCAGTTTTATGCATCCCTTCAAATAAAGTGTTACCAAATTTAGACACCAGTTTCTCTGATTTTACTCCTTAGAGGTTTATGTTTGGTAAAATGAACATTGTTCTTTTAGTCTATGAACTACTGACAACATGTCTCTGAAATTCCAAGCAAAAATTTTGTATTTATTTACAGAAAATGAGAAACGGTCCATATAACAAAAAAATGCAGTAAATAATGCAAAGAAAACAAGTTTATATTAATTTAGAAACAACAAAACTAACGTTTTAACTCAGGAAGAGATCAGGAATCGATATTTGGTGGAATAACCAGCAGGTTTCAAAGCAGTGGGTTCTTTTCCAGAGATGTATATTAGGGCCTAAATTCACAGGAAAAGAAAGAATAAATAAATACGTCGCATCCAGTCATATTGATGCTGCCATTTTCCAGCTCAGTCATGATTTCAGATTGCGATGAAACCAACAACACCACATCATCTACAAAACAGTAGAGACCCAATCCTTAGTGGTTCAGAACAGATCCTTTTAACACTTAAATGTCCATGAACAGAGGTCAAAGGGCAACCTTGGCGGAGTCCAACTCTCACCGGAAACGAGCCTGAAGCTCAAACTCTGACTAAATAAGAGGTCAAGTTTGCCGACAGAATTATGCCAGAAACCTGTTGATGTCTAGAGAAACATGGATGAGCTGCAGCTCATATGAGTGGGGGCGTATTTATATATTTAACCCCTTCATGCATCCTGGTCACTGCAGTGGACAGCCCTCTAAAAGCCATTTTCTTCTGCTTCTTGTGGATTTTTATGTTTTAAATGCACACAGACCACTGAAGTGGACACTAATCCATCATAAAATACACTATCAACTAAAAAAAAGAAAATTAAAAAATAACATTTTTCCCTACTTTTTTTATGCCTTAGGAAAATAAAAAAATTGGAAAGAAATCCTGACACAAAGGATCATAATTCATGCATGAAATGGTTAATTATATATCAGTTTAAGTTTAATTTTGACTGTGTGGTTTAGATAAGATCCACTGAAAGAAAAAGAAAATCAGCCTTGTAGTGAAGTCATTCCCTCCTGACAAAAAAACGTTTCAAAACTAAAATATTAGACTTTGGTGCCTAGAATGTGTGTATTTTAAGTTTTTAGCCCTTTATTTATTTTTTATTTCATTTTAAATCAGTTCCAGTCCGATAGTTAACCCAATTAGACAGGAAGAAAAGCATTGAAAAATGACACTTTGACTTCTTGGAAGGGAAGGAAAAATTTAAACAAGATTTGGTTTAAATTTTCTTCTAGTTATCAACATTGAAGCTGTTTAACCCTGAACCATTTTTGTGACCTCTGACCTCTGCTTTTTTAGGTGCCACGGCTTCTGCCAGAAAGGAGGTGATCCGCAACAAGATTCGTGCCATTGGGAAGATGGCCCGGGTATTCTCTGTGCTCAGGTACCTAACCTCATGCTGCCGGGCGGAAAAAGATTTAATTCTGCTTAATTCTTAAGCGCCACAGTAGTTTCCTCCTGTTTTTTTGCTTTTGTTTTTTTAACTGAAAGCTTATCAAACTATCCAAAAACCAAGAACTTGGTTTCTTGTTCTCCTGCCAACATCAGTTAGAGAGAGGAAGGGGAACAAATGAAGGCGGCAGCGTTTTCCTGCTGTAAATCTGTCTGCTGTGTTTATGCTGAAGTTTGAACCTCAGACAGTTTTAGACCAACAGCCAATCAGGAAGAGGCAGGAAGAGACGGGCAGGAAGCTGTGATACTCATAGCAGCAGCAGAAGAAGAAGAGTCTGATGGTCAGAGGAGGAGAGGAGGAGTGGTTCCTCAACCATCCATCCATCTATTCATCTGTCCATCTATCCATCCTTTAATCTATTCATCCATCCATCCATTAATCTATTCATCCATCTATTCATCATCTATTCATCCATCCATCCATCTATTCATCCATCCATCCATCTATTCATCTGTCCATCTATTCATCTGTCCATCTATCCATCCTTTAATCTATTCATCCATCCATCCATTAATCTATTCATCCATCTATTCATCATCTATTCATCCATCCATCCATCCATCCATCCATCTATTCATCCACCCATCTATTCATCTGTCCATCTATCCATCCATTAATCTATTCATCCATCTATTCATCATCTATTCATCCATCCATCCATCCATCCATCCATCCATCTATTCATCCATCCATCTATTCATCCATCCATCATAAATTAAAAAAATCTTGATTCTTATATTTTGTTAATTTTTCCTTAAACTCAGACTTGAACCTTTGGGCCTTGGTTCTGAAAGCGCTCCAGGCCCACAGTAGAACATGTTGGTGGCAGCATTATGCTGTGGGGTTTCATTTCTGCAGATGGAACATAGTTTTCTCTGATTTTTTGTTGATTTGATGAAGCTAGCCGTCCTTTTCAACGTCGCTCCGACTGCAAACAACAGAGGAATCAGACGAGTCCAGAACTGGACCAGACAGCGGGTCTTTGGGTCGACACCTTTATGACACACTGACCTCAGGTGTGACACCTGTTCTGTTTCAGAGAGGAGAGTGAGAGCGTGCTCACGCTGAAGGGGCTGACCCCGACTGGCATGCTGCCGAGCGGAGTGCTGTCCGGTGGCAAAGAGAAGCTGCAGAACGGTAAGACTGCGACCTCCGACCCCCTGACCTGCTCTCAGAAGAACCTAACCAGGCGCCAGCTCAGTATTTGGAATATCCTGTTATCAGTTTAGCTGTAGCTCCTCTGAGTTATTGACAGAGAATTAAAAGCTGCTGTCTTCTCCCCCACCAGCTACATTTCTTTGGTTTCATTGTTTTCTTCTTGAATGTGTCCTCTCTTAACGTCCGGCGTTAATGCTTCTGTTTTCCAGTCCCTGTTTGCTCTCTTCCACTGGTCTTACTCAAATATTACCCATGTGTTTTCTTTCTCCTCTTTCTCTCTGGAAACTGCAGGTACATTCGGTTGTTGTGCAAGTATTTTTGCTGTGTTTTGTCTTCAGATGTTCTGTCTTTAGATTTATGTTCACTCTCAGTTTCACAAACCTTCTCTGCAGGTTTTAAGAAGCTTTATTGCTAAGAAATTTTAGGATTATCTGTATTCTATTGATAAAGCAAAAATTACCTCGTTCTCAACTTAAAAGCAGGTTTTTGTAGATTTACAGCCTCATTGTCCCTCTAGAAAAAACATGTAAAAACCAATAAAATACATTTATACAACAATGCATTAGTTTAATCTTACTACTGAAAATTAAAATGATAAATTTGATCTTAAGAAATAATTGTCTTTCTCAGATTTATCGGTGGTTAAGCTAATTTTTTGTTTGGTTCTTTGAACTTTGAAAACATTTAGCGCAGTTAGCTTCCACTAAACTAATTTTTCTGAATAAATTGTAAAGCGCTAATTTACTTGGATGTTTACAAGTAAACTTTATTAAATTTAAAGTTGAATAAACTTTGATATCTGCTGTAGTATTTGTTATCGACTGCTAGGAATCCTTCAAGTAGCTAGCCGGTTACATTCATGCTCTTATTTTGAAACTGCTTAAGCAGTTTCCTCTCCTCATGTTCTCCACCTGTGATGCGATACAGGAATTTCCAGTTTTTCTCTACCCAGAATGCATTGCTGTAAAACTACAGGCTGTAGTTTTGAATGCGAATCAGCATAATTGAAATTAGTGCTTTAGCATTAGCTTCTGCTAACTAACATGTTGGTGCCCGCTAACACCTTAGCGTTAGCGTAACCAACTTCTTAGTTAACAGTGCCCACAAAATTTTTTTTTTTTTTTTTGTATCGTTTCTTATTTTTGTTTTGGAGTCTTTGTTTTATTTAAATATTTGGTTAAGATAAATTAACTTTGCGGGATTACCAATTAAACGTTTCTGAACTTTTTTGGCCATCTAAAACTAATTAAAGTATAAATAAACCATTCTTCAGTCATTTAGGTTTCTGTAGGGATTTTTAGAGTTGTAAATTTTTATTTTTTTATTTTTTTTTTTGCTACAGTAAATGTTCTCAAACTAAGGGTTTTCCAGAAACGTCAGTGTGAAACATGCTACTGCATGCATATTTACCTGATAACATATTAATAAATCAATAATAATACCTTCAGACAGGCTCTTTAACGAGGATGTGTAAAACCGTCAGAATTGCGTAGACTCATCGTGGCTCTCGCCTCATTTAGCCGATCACCTGTGATTTTTCCATCTCAGCCACGTTTTTATTTGTGGTGTTGGTTTAGTTGGAGCTCATCGTCTCGGAGCTTTGTGCCGTTTCCTCATGTCTGTGTTGTGTTTTATCTAAATGTAAAACTCCCAGGTTTGTAATCGGTAAGTGGCTGGAAGGTTTTCTTCACGCTCGGCCAGTGATTTTGATATTTAGCATCAAAAGAGGCTGAACCCGTGTGTTATCCTGTTGTGTCCATCTGATTATTTGTTTTCAGTATTTCTAATCTCATTTCCAGCAGAAACAAATGGTTTTCCAACATTTTTTGTGTCATTTTGTTTTTTCTAAGGATTCATTTATTTTTCCTGCCACTACATTCATTCGTTTGACACTTTTTCTTGAACTTTAACCCTTTTCTCCATGATATTTGCTGCCACTTCTCCTCTTCCTCCCTTTTTGCTAACATCCTCGTATTCTTTTGTCATGAAATGTGGAGATGCCGTTAACCTTTTGTTGTCGTTATTGGCTGTCTTTGCTGCTCATTGACTTGTTCCTGGGACACAATGACCTCCTCCTGCTCACCTCTCTCGTTCATTTTGCAACCCCCCTCTTCTTCTCTTCAGCTACTATTGAAGCTATTGAGGCTGACGAAGGTAAATGGGTCTAGCCGCCCTCTTCTGTTGCTTTTTCATGGCAATAGACAGTCGGTGGGGTGGGGGAGGGAGGGCGGGCGGGTTTTGGCCGGGTTCTTCCATTCATCTCGCTGGTGCTTGAGTAGAACTGTGGCGTAGTTTAGAGCAAGAAGTAAGTACGTTAGATCATGTGGTCGAACGTTTTAAAGGGGGACCAGCTTTTCATAGCAGAGATTTCATGATCACAGATTGTCCCTGTGATTTATTGTTGTTGTTTTCTTTTTGTGCGTGTGTGTGTGTGTGTGTGTGTTTTTTTTTGTTTTTTGTTTTGTTTTTTAATTAATCGGGTGAGCGCAAAGCAAAAAGACAAGACGTCACTGCAGAGTTTGTGACTGAAAATGTCTGCGTTGCATTTCAGAAGAATTGCCAAACGACGTTTGTTTTCGAAGCGCTGGTAAGCGAGAAAACCGTCGAGAAAACCGTCAGACGTAGTTGCACTTGAAGAAACTCATTTTTCACGCTCACAAAATGTGGAAGGTGTGAATATGTGGGTATTATCAGGTCTTCTGGAAGCGCTGCCGTGAATTTCTGCCTCCTGGAAAACACAGTGGCTCCTTAAAAACCTGATTTTATGCGTCAATTATTGCTTTCTTGTGAAAACACAACCAAATAAATGCTTAGGGATTTCAGAAATACCCTTTAAGGGTTTTTGTTCAAAGAACAGAGCGCTAGTAAAGTCAGAGATTGCAATACTTTACAGAACTGTGCAGAAGTTTTAAATCGCAACAAATGTCTGTATTTTCTTTCCACACTGCCAGACATTCTTGTAATTATTTAAAATGTGCTGGACCAACATTTCCTCTGCCTTTCAGAGTTTCTCTTTTGACTTTAGCTGCTTCTTTTTTATTAATTTCCAACCCATTTCAGTGTCAACCCAAATTAACGATAGCGTTTTTTTTTTTTTTTTGTTGTAGTGGAAAATAAAACAAAGGGAATGTTTACTCTCATGGATTTCACTCACTTTTCTGTGTTGCTACTCATTTTGTAACATATTCCTATTTTTTAAAAACAGTTTTCTGTTTAAAACGGTAAACAATTCTTCCCTGTGGTTCCAGATTGGACATTATTATCCATTTAATGTGGTGCTTTTCTAATTTAGAGTCAAAAAAGTGCATTTGAAAAAGAGTAGTAAAGCTAATAGTTGATTTATTTCATACTCCCACTCCAGTCCTCTGGTGCCATTCTCCTGCAACCTTTGGATGCATCCCTGCTCCAACGTGCCTGAGTCAAATGAACAGGTCTGGTCACTAACCATTTATTTGATCCAGGTGTGTTGCAGCGGGGATGCAAACAAACCACTGCAGGACAGAGACATTTATTTCCCTGCTCCAAAGGATTTTCTGGATCATAACAGGAACAAGTTCTTCTCAAGAGCCCTGTTTGCGTCCAGATAAATGGGGGGGAAAGGAATAATTAAAAGAAAAGAATCAAGTCCTGACAAAACACCTGAGAACTGATGGTTTTAAAGTCCACAGGAGACAAAAAAGCAGCCAAAGTCTAAAGAAAAACCCCAAAGAAGCCCCTTAATGATGCCTGCAGAAGTGATGATCAGCAGCATTTTTGAAGCTTACAAGCAAGTCTGTCTTTTTGGAAAACTTTTTGCACTATAAACGCCAAGTCACATTTCCTCTGATGAAGACTCAGCTTCATCGTCTACCTCTTGCGCTGCCCTCACACAACCTTATGAAATCTTGCTATGAAAGCCTCTTAGTATTTCGTCCCCTTTGAAACGGCTGAAGCAGTTGTGCATTGTTGTTGCATTTATCCTCCAATCGCTTTCCGAGCTGGAAACCCAAAGCTCCCGGGGAGAAATCTGCATTAGATTCTCCCCTTTTTGGAAAGGAAAAACAAACTGTTACCTGCACCGCTTTTCCTTGGTTTGCGCAAGAACAACCTCAACTGCGAGCTAAATAGTAGTGCGCCAGCTGCTATTTACGTTGAACCTGTCGGGCGCTTCCTCTCGAACCCCACAGAGGACAGTCCACTGTAGTGTCCAGACTCTTCTCTGCTTCTCTCTCTCTCTCCATGTCGGTCTCCTGTGGCCCTGCTGTGTCGTGTTTCCTTCCTGTGAGCTGCTAATAACCTGTGTCTGACCTGTGCTATGCAGCAACACAACTACGCTACCCATCATGCCCTCCTCGTAGAATATATGACGCCCCCTGCTTCCTCGTCTTAACAGAGGGTCATCTTTTGTTTCTTTTGCGTCATGCAAAGAGGCTTTATGAGAGGTGGAAGTGATGAAATGTGAAAGCTTTTGCTCCGTTTAGGCCTCCTGGTGACTTCCATCCCTCATAGCTGCTGGTAGATCCTAATTGCTGCATGCTCCAAGCAGACGTAGCGAGTCGTTAGCACCGTCAAGTGTCTGTAGTGTTTCAGTCTCAACGTGGTTTCTATTCTGTGGTTGTGTCTCAGTGGACTCCACTCTATTATTTTGTTCTTTTCCCCTCCTCCCTTTGTTCTCCTTTATTTTTCTGTGTGTCTCTGATCATTGTCTTTTCTCCTTTTCAAACTGTGATGTGACGACAGGGCGATCTGGATGTTTGGGGTCCTCGGGCTTTGTCTTAGAGTTTTCTTGTTTTTATATACTGCCTGAAAACACAAGACTTACCACGAAACAGAACAAAAATAAAGCAAAAAAAAACAGCAGAGCAACATGTTCTACGTACTTCAGATTTTCTTTGTAAAGCATATTTTAGTGGTAAAGTGAAAACCTGTCGACCCTGATGCCAGCAGCCCCTTGTTATAGCTTTAGGAGGATCATTTGATCCTTTTGTTCTTCTCTTTTCATCTGATAAATGATGTCAAAGTGACGCTCTGTTAAATAAAATGAGGTTAAGTATGGTACATGTTTCTACAACACATTTAAACAGTTTTAATTATGTGGAAGTTTATTGAAATGTTGTAAAACAACAGTTCTGGTAAAAGTAGCTACAATTTTCTCTGGGTAGAGTCGCATGAGAAGCTATTTTGTTATACAAATAAGCAAGAAATTGTAATATGGCAAACCTTTAAAAGACCCAAGAAAACACCAAATAAACTCACAGGAGCAACAGTTAAACATGCGTGTTGAGCTGTTGCTACATTACATTTTAATGCTCTTCTTCACATTCACTTTGAATTCAAGTTGTAAAGAGATTCATTTTAATAAAATACAATTATGCACTGCAAAAAACACAAACTCTTCCCAAGTATTTTTGGTCTAATTTATAGTGCAAATGTCTTGACAAAAGTCAAAATTACAAATAACCTTTTAGTAGGAGCTTAATATTGACTTAATGTTGAATTATTGACTAGTTCCACTGGCAGATTATTTCACTTGTAACACTGGAAAAATGTTATGTGAAACAATTTACCAGTGAAACTTGTAGCTTTTTTAATTGATATTAGATAATTATTGCATCACTCCATCAGTGACCTTTTCATTCAGAGAGAGAAGAAAAGCAAAGAAGCACTGCCGAGTCAGGTGCATTTTCTAACAGAAAAAAGCAAAGTTTATCCAGATAACGTCAGCGGTGGCTTCTTCATTGGCTCCATCCGGGAAACAAACATGGCTGCACACAGAATCTGCGGACTGTTTACACTTTCTAAGGAAAAAAAAAACATGAAGCCCTCAAATGATCTACAACGATCCCATCACAGACAGTCTTAAAGAGGAGCAGCAAAAGCAAATGAGGTGGATCAGCAGTGTGCAAAACTTTGACAATATTCCGCAAATGGTGCAAAAACACAATTTCGCCATTACAGTGTTTCCATTAAGTTAGAAAGGCACAAGTGAATAAGTAAGTTTGTTCACACTACAAGTCATTACAGAGCATGATGCGCCATCATCCTCTTACTACTTCCTGTCTTCTTCTTCCTCTTTGTGGTTTGCGCCAACAACATCCGGTTGTTCATGTGATTTGTGTAATTAAAATAAATAAAATAAATACATTTCGATAAAATACCTCATCATAGCGGCAAAACCTTTTTATCGAAAAATGAAAACTAAGCAAATTTATTTTTGAAATGTTAAATTGTGACAATGGAAACGCAGCGTGAGGAAAAGGCAGCATAAACACAGAGGTCATGTGAGGAAAGCTTGAGAAATTTATGAATAATTTCTCATGTAACTCTACCCAGAAGGTGAACATGAACATTTTCGTAAAGGTGACTTTAAGACTATCATCCTGCGCTCATTATTAGCACAAGGTTTGGCTTTAGTTTTATTTATTTTTGTTTGTCTTGGACAAACTCTTGTTTTCATTTCCAGTTTTCAAGATCAGCTACTTTTATGATTCTCACGATTTTATTCCTCCCCTTCTAAAACCGCCTCTAATTTCCTCGTCTTTTCCGCTTTCCCTCCCCCCTCCACGTCTCAACAGCCATCAAAGGCTTCTCCCCTCAGCACAAGATCACCAGCTTCGAGGAGGCCAAGGGCCTGGACCGCATCAACGAGAGGATGCCGCCGCGGCGGGACGCACTGCCCTCGGACGCCAGCCTCAACTCGCTCAACCGGGCCCTGTCCTCGGAGACCAACGGCACGGACTCCAAGGGGAGCACCAGCGCCGGCAGCGGAGGCAGCATCCAGTGAAGGCCAGCAGCAGCAGCAGGCGCCGCCTCGGCCCGCGGGGCTGCCTGGCCCCCAGCCTCACCACGGCCCGCCACCGCACAGGAGGCGCAGCAGGGGGGGGTGAAGAGGATGAGGAGGAACGTTGGGGGGGCTGGAGTGTGGTTGGGGGAGGCAGCAGTGGCTGAAACCTGGGGGGTCATCTCACTTGCTCTAGTCTTTTAAAATGCCTTCATAATATTAGTTCCTAGTCAAATCCGCTAAGTTATTTGCCGGGTCACATTTCCGAGCGGTCGGCCCGACCGCGCCTCACCATCACAGTCCGTCAGAGAGAAACGGGGAAGAGAGAGAGACCGTAGAGTTTGTGTGGTTTGTTTTTATTTTATTTTTCTTAAACGACCCTTTTTCTCATTTACACCGAAACGGAAAGTCGTGTAACTTCTTACTAACTATTGTACGTTTACAAGAACACAGCACTAAAAAAAGGAAAGAAAAAAAAGAGAGAGAAAGAGACAAGGACAGAACATGAGAAAGGCGATGTTTTTAAAGATATAAGGGTGTACAAACTAAATAAGGACTATTTATTGATGACTTTTGTTTTTGCTACTCTTATAAAATAGCTCTGAAATTAATTAGGCAGTCTTAAAAATATATATATATATAAAAAAGAATGTTGCAATGTTGTCAAAATGCCAAATAATGGAACGTTTTATGGTTTTTGTACATATTCTGCTTACCTCAGGTTCTTTTGGTGTGTGCTTCAACCTGATTTTTCTGTATAATGGTTAAATAACTCAGTAATTAATACCTATTTTCTTGAGTTTCATAACTGGAATTTACACTTACCTATCTATCATCTGCAGATATGTTTATTTTTTGTCTCTATCTGAATGGTGGGGACTTGGGGTGTGGGGAGGGGAATATTTTATTTGTTGTTGTTTTGGTTTTTTTTGTTTTTTTTGTGGCTTGCTGGAATTGAGTGTTAAATTTTTCTCTTTTTAAGTATTGCGAACAAAGTAAAAATAGAGAACCTATATTGTGTAAGAAAAAAAAACTGAGTATGATAATAAAGTGTCTGCCTATGCATGTTTTATAAAAATCAAAAGGAATTAGAAAACCTGAATACCTTGGCTGTGGAGGCCTGTTTTGATATATTGCGCTTTAGTGAACATATACTGGAAACGTATACTTGCATACTTTGAATTAACACCAAGACGCTCTATGCCTTTGACTCTCCTTTTGTTTTGTAATTGAAGCATTTCATTATCGAAGACGGATGAGAAATCCTATTTTTAACCTGCGCTTGTGAGTGCATTCAGTCCAGTTAAGCATGTTTGGCAATTCTCGTGGGGTGTGTGGTCACATGTGGATCTCCCAAAAAAAATGCATGATTAGCTGTTTGTGTCCTATAAAAAGTGAAAATCTTTTTTTTGTTGTTTTAAGTTTTTTTTTTTGTTTGTTTGTTTTGTGCCACAGAAAGTGTAATTTGATTCCTCTTATAATCTTATTTGGAACTTTGCTTTGTATATCAGTTACAGGTTTGATACTGCTCAATACTTTAAGATGAAACAACAACAACAAAATATATATATACATATATATACTTAGATCTTTTTTAAAGAACTGCTTTAAGTGCCCAAGTAATTCACTACACGACATGAAGCCTTGCTTTTTGTAATTTAACTCCGAAAACTGTTGGCAGATGATGATGATGATGATGATGATGATGAGGCATGCACTTGCAACTATGAGAAGTATTTTATATAACTGTTCAATAAAAATGTGCATGAATTTCAACATGAAATGAAACCTGTGTTGGGTGTGAGTGTATATGAACTCTTAAGTTGTTTTTTGTTTTTGTATTTTTAAGTGTAGAGTTTCCAGGTCAATTTAAAGTACAGGAGAACATTTGTGTCAAATTATTAGTTTTGTAAATTTGTCCTTAGGTATGACATTTTAGTAATATTTATCTAAAGGTTTTGTTTTATGTTGAAAACACACCAAAATATACAAGTTCATCTTGATAAGACAGAGTACTACTGTAGTACTAAATGTATTTGATGTATTTGTCAGTATTTCAATACAAAACGTGCAACATTTTATACTATACAGATTTAGTACATTAACTCAATTAAGTTATTTATCTTAATTTTGATGGCTATTGCTTAAAGCTAATGAAAACATTCAGAAAATTTCAACTTTACACCTCAGAACATGTAAGCTGCAAGCAGCATCGAGCTGGAGACTCATGTGAGCTCCATTCACAAAAACTGAACCTTTTGATAACTTTTAATCCCACATACTTGGTCAATAAATGGACATGTTGACCAAATTAAGCCGATAGCTCATATTCCCTAAAAGGAGTTTGTTGAAAGTTTGACATGTCTGAATAGTCAGAAACACCCAAAAATAGCCTTTTAACCAAAAATGGTCAACTTCCTGTTGGACTTTAGACTTTTCTTTCTTGTTTCAGAGGTTTCTAAGTATGTACAAATTTTCAGCTCTCTAGCCTATATAACGTTTGTCCTGTTTGGTCCCGACTATTTTTTAATTCCAATAAAATAGTGAAATTTCACAAGTTTGGTGTGTTTTCCTCCAAAATGGTATAGTGTAGAGAAAAATAAGAAACATTTGAACCAATAGGCCTAAACAGTGCTTTTGCTGCTCAGGTTTAAATACACTTGTACTGTAGAAATCTGGTTCAACTTTTATTAAAAACATATGTTTTTTACATAAAACTGTCACTATGTCATGATAGTTTATGAGACAGATAAGCTATTTTAAAAAACTAAGTAATTTTCTAACAGATTACGACTAGATATTCCTGTAGTGCTAAAAAGTTAGCCCTTTCCCAGTGCTAACTACAGAAATGCGCAGCTTGCTCAGAAACAACCAATCAGAGCCAGAAGGAGTGTTTTAGTGCTGTCAATCATAGACATGAATACGTTGTCAATCACGATCAGAGCTTCCGGTTTGCTGTCATTCACTGTAACAGGTCGCCGCGAATGCTAACGCTAGTTAGCTTAGCCACCGATGATGGCGGATAGACAGCTTTTCTGTAATGGTAAGTCTTTTTCACCGTCATGAGCACATTTAGCAGTGTGTGCCAGAGGTTTACTGAGGACGGTTTTAACAAATATGGAAAAGCTTTATTATATATGAAAGTTAAATAACCCAGCTTCACTTTTAGCTCGCCCGCATTGCTAGCTGTGACGTCAACCATCTTCTCCGTATTTTGCTGTCTTTGAACTTGATAAAACACAGTGGACCAATATCACCAGGGCTGGACCACAATGTGTTTTTTCCACTCTTCCTCCAGGCTTCAAACCTTGACCAAATTGAAAAATTACCTTTTTTCTCCTTGGTCGAGAACTATTTAAAAAAAATCAAATGTAGCATTTCTGATGAGACGTCTGACCAAATTTCAAGCCTGAATTACGCTGAGAAGCAATTTGCTCAGAAACTACAAACCAAAATCAATGGGATGAACAAGCTTCTGAAAGATTTTAGTAGAAAGCGTTATGTCTTTAGTTTCCCATTGTGATGAGTTTTAAGTTGCATAATTAACATTTTGAAGCAGGACCTGTAAACATGTGTCCCAGGAGATCCTCTGGCAGCTCTCGCTCTCCAAAGCAAAGACCTTCCTCATTGTGAAGCTGACAATCGGTCCACACGTTCTCTTGCTGTAAACCTCGCTCTTTTAAAATAAAGATCCCCAAAAAACAGGATGTGAGCCTTCACTTCCTCTGATTCGAGTATTGTGCTTTGAACAAAGCCGAAAAAATAAAACCTGAGAAATTGCTTATCGCTTAGTTTTTTTTTTTTTTTTCCACATTTGCAGAAGACAGTCTTGTGTTTGGGAGTGAGGTGTGTGAAAGTATTTGAGCGAAGGAGCGGATATTTGTGATTCTTGCGTGGTAGTAGGGTTGTGTATTCTTGGCTTTGTCTTCCAAGTTTAATCAAAGAAGTCACAGAGGTTGATGGGGAGGAAACACCTTTGTTGAAAACCTGCCAAAGAGCAACTTCCCCTCTACCAAGTCGGCACCTACCTATTCGGTTCAGACGAACGGTACACAAGGGAAAAAAAATAAGTCAACACAAACCACAGCCAAAGACATGAGCAGATGATGGGTGGGTTTTTTATATAGTCAAGGTTTCTGAATATTTTCCTTCCACATCCTTTTCCAGGCTCAGTTTTCACAGATTTTGTTTCCACAAGCTACTGCTATGGTCAAACAGTCGACAGAATATCGTAGCAAAAGTCTTCTGGGTTGTCGACATTTTTTTATTCAGCGGACTTGAAGTTGCAGGGATGAGTTCAGGTAAAGTTAGCAGAGTCATGCTACAGCTATGCATTGAGTAAATGTTCAACAACTCTTCTTCTCAGATGATGCCATCTACATAAAACTCTTGGAAAAAAGTGAAGAGCCCACTGCACTGAACCCCACTGAAAGCCTCCTGGTTTTTCCACCAAATATTGATTTCTGAACTCTTCCTGAGTTAAAACGTTAGTATTACAACGACCAAGAAATTCAAATTAGTGCATAAATCTCTCTGCAGCCTTATCAGTACACACAAACGCTAACATAATGATCCGCTAAATCGGTGAATGGACATTAATTTGGAGCTCTCCGTTTGAATAGACAGCATGTCGCTCAGTTTTTTTGTTGTTGACTCATTTCTGCAGGCCTCAGTGAGGGATTTGGAGGTTCTGGGTTCTTCTGGGACGACCTGGATGATCCGTTTTGAAGTCACTTCAGTGGGAGGGTTCATCACCGTTTCCTGTTTTCTCCATTTGTGGATAATGATTCCCCTGTGGTTCTTCTCTGGAGTCAATAATGATCTGTTGATGCAAATAACTTTGTTTCTCACCTTTTCTTTAATTTATTTATGGGGGGTTTTCAACCTGATTTTGGTTGTCTGACATGTAATGTTTCAGACTTTCGGGTTTCTGCAGGTGTGGCTGGTGAAATGAAACCTTAAAAATGTTGTTGGTGTGACGATCTAATGAAAGGAGCAATAAATCTGTAAGTGGCCAAAAAGCGTTCTCAAAGTGGATCCACTTCAACACGGCGACGTGTTATCTGTAGGCGTTGCTCCAGAAGAACAGTAAGACACCATGGCATGTTTTTAATTGTTTATATAAGAAAACAAGCTGGTGGTTTATTATCCTCACATTCAACAGCAGGTCCACATCTATGACAGTTTCTCAGCATCTCTAATGTTGCAGATTCTTCAGCAGTCATTTGCTTATCTCCTGTAATTGCTGATGAAATTGCTGCTGTGTCGTCCCGGTCTCCTCCCAAACCCATCCGACGTTGTCAGAGCAGGAAAAAATAAGCGATGGGTGTTGCCTCAGACTGACGGGTCCAAACAGAGATTATTGTTTAAATGGACTGGGGGCCGCGCTGCGACTCGCCACATCCACCCACTTTACGTCAGAAAGGGAAGCCAGTGTGTTTCCTCCCCTTCTTTATGTAAAGGAAGTGCGAAAATAAGCATCAGCGTCGGAGGGACCAGGCTTGGACCCCCCCCCTTCTTTTTTTTTTTTTTTTTTTTTTTGCTTTTTGTCGTAAAGTCCAACCAGCTCCAGTCTGCAGAAGAAGTCGGAGGAGATCCACGCTGTCGCCATGAAGTCCATCAGGGTTTTCATCCTGCTGCTGCTGGGATCAGCCGCACCAGGTAGGGTCTAAATTGGATCAAATCCTGTAGGTTCAAACTTATTGGCTAAAACTAATTAATTTGAATGAGAAAGTTAAATCCAATGCTTTAATTTTAGATTACTAGTTGGTTTATTTTAAGACTTCATTCCTCCGGGTGCGATTTAGTTTTGGTTTTCGCCGGGATAAAGATCACATGTGCAAAGAAGAGACTCACACTTTGAGTTTATCTTGTTTCCAGAAATTAAAAATCTTGTGCAGCTTTTTCAAAGTCCCAATTTGCTGTAGTTATTATTTTTGACGCCCCCTGTGTGACATCCAGCCTTGAGAATACGGTTGAACCCGACTGAGGGAGAGAAGAAACGGACTGGCTCCTGGTTTGTTTTTCCTCGCAGCAGCCCTGCGCCAGGCTGATAGGTGATCTAACCCCAGATAACCAGTGGGAACCGGGCTGCCCCCCCTGTCACAGAAACAACAGATTATTGTCCTGCGACCACAAAGGTCCCTGATGGAAACAAACCGACTTCCAGCAGTAAACATCTGGAGGAAACACCCTCGCCGGGGCTTTGTAATGAAACTGTGCAGGCTCAAGCTTTGACCTTGTTAAATCAACATAAGGTCACCTTTTCTTTTTTTTTTTTTCCAACCTACCAGCTTCAATGCTTCAGCCATCAAATATCTACAGGACTTGTTAAAGATCTTGCAAAAGTATTGAAGCGTCTTCAGTGTGGGATTGCAAGTTTATCAATTATTAATCTCATTAAAAAATGGCTGCAATCTGCAGATTTTTCAGTTATACTCTTCAGCCTTCTTTTGTGATGTTAGAAATACTTTAAAAGATGCAAATAAACAATTTAAAAATTCAATTTTTAAATAAGAAAATCAATATTTTCTGTCTAAAATTCAAGAAAAGGTTTTTTTTTTCCCCCCCAGAATCAGTCGAGGGGCTGGGGGGAACTCTGGAGGAGCTGCAGAAATGAGAATCTGTGGAGATTATAAACTATTAACAATCACTTCCATAAATATGGCCTTGACTGAAATGTTGGCAAGAAGAAAGCTGTTGTTGAAAGTCACAAAAATTCCTATTGAAAGTTTGGCACAAGTCATGTAGAGAGACGCATGAAGAAGAAGATGATTTAATCAGATAAGAGCAGATTTGAACTTTTTGCCCTACGTTCAATATGCTAAATGTGTGAGAGAAGGATTTCACTGTGAACGCGTCACCCAGAGGTAAAACACGGTGGCGGCAGAGTCATGCTTTGGTGATTATTACTATTCAGGAGAGACGAGGAAGCTGGTCCGACATGGACGCAGCAGTCCTGGTTGAAAACCTGTCAGATTTAAGACTTTTACTTTAGAGGAGGTTCACCATGACAACCAACATTCAGAGCTACAGTGGAGCTGGCCTATTCAAAGTTCAATGTTTGTAGATTTTTCCGTGGAATGTGGCTTCAAATTATTTGTGGAAAATTTGCAAATTCACAGATATTTCTGCAGAACATTTACGTGCCAATAGCAGAACTAATTTTTTTTTGTTTTGCACTTTTGCTAACTGAAAACTTTTAGCACACTTAGCTTCCTCTAAATCAGGGGGTGTCCAAAGTGCGGCCTGGAGCCATTTGTGGCCCTCGAAACAATTTCACGTGGCCCCAGAATGCAGCTAAAAGAAAGATACCAGTTTGGCCCCATAGTGGACACTTCAGTCACGTTTTAGCATAAAAATTTCCTTGAAAAATTCAGTGGAAAGTGTTAGGTACAACATGTTTTTTAATAGTCGCTTTTGATTTCATAGTAAGTGGGGCTATAAAAATGTAGCAATATTTTACTTAAAAAATGGACAAGAGCACCTTCTTCTACTAAACTTGGTTAATAGAGGAGGGTTTTCTAAAACAAAAATAAGTTCTAGTTTTTGTTTGGAATAGACTAAAAGTTTTTCTAGACCAAATAAACTAAAAAAAAATCTTAAAAAGCTAATTAAGACAAAAGAAAATTGTCCACCTTTTTTTTCCTTATTGTTTAATTTATTAAATAAAATTCACAACAAAATTATTTTGTCCTTTAAGCTGTAGAAGCAATATGGCCCCTGGTTGCTTTCAACTTTGGAATTTGTTGCAAAAAGTTTAGACACCCCTGTTCCAAATTAAATTTTCCAGATAAATCCTAAAGCACTAATTTGCTTGAGTGTTTTATAAACCTTCAGTCAAATAAAGTTCAACATGTTTGTTGAAGGTTTGGTTATCTGCTGCTAAGAATCTTTCAAATAGTTGCATGTTTATATTTATGCTCTTCTTTTGAAGTTTACACCACGGCTCTGTTTTTTCCTCAATGATTTTCTCTAAAACAACAGACATGCAAGAACAAAATAAGATCCGCACAGAGGAGATGAAAATGTAAACATAAAAATGTCTAATGCCATCTCGGAATAATCTGAATTATGTTGAGATGTTCAAGGTTTGTAATCTTTCAAGGGCAGGTACAATGTGAACTGAAGCTAGTGTCTTAGCATTAGCTTCCACTAAATGCCATGTAGCATTAGCGCAACAAACTTTTAAGTTAGCGTTGTCCACCACTGTCTATAACAAAGAATACTCATGTCTGTGAAAGTCCAGACCTCAGTCCAACACAATCTGTGAAAAGGTCTGAAAATCATTGATGTTTACAGACAATCTCAACAAATGAATGCCACACTTTTCAGATTTTTATTTATGAAAGAATTTCCACTTCACGTTTATGCGCTGCTTTGCATCGGTCAGTAACAGAAAATGCAAATACAATTCATTGAAGCACAAAAAGAGTTATGAATCTTTTTGGTTAAATCTCACTTGGATTAAATGTTTTTAAGGATATAACCTTCCAGACAGTTGACTGTTTGAGTTGCGCTGCCCAGTCTCTTATCTGCTGGTGAATATGAATGAAGTTGGCGCAGACAGAGGTTAAGACAGGAAGCCTGGCGCAGGCCAGTGGGCCAGCAATTGTCTGTCTGCAACAGGATGCAGCTTCTCACTTAGTAAAGAGGATGTCCATCCATAAAACACCAAAAAGCCACGACTGTCTTGACTTTTCCTCCTCAGCCTGACAGAAGATACAGGTCTTTGTCTTTGACTTTTCAAGCTCTGCCAAACAGGAATCCTGCAAAAAATGAAGCGTGAACCTTAAAATAGAGAACATGTCAGAGGAAATGTCGGACGAATAGAAAGTGGGACTTGCGTTTCTGTGCCAGATTGGTCCTAAATGTTTCTCTATGACCTCAGTGGAGGAGGATGTTGACAACACCAGGATGTTCTGGCTCGTGTTAAAACATGGCAACATGTTAAAAACCTTCAGTTGGAATATATTGTACCAGCAAAATCAACTCTTTAATGTGTTGCTCTAGCTTTAGCCATCTCTCTGCTTTTCAGTTTCATCATCTGGGGCATCCACAACATCTCCAGTGAACACGACTGCTGGTGAGTATAGAAATGAAAAATATAGTCCAGCAAACTTCTCAAGTTTAATAAATTCACGTTATATTCTTTAATAAGGTCCAACTGTGATGAGTAGCCCTCAGTTCTTCCATTCTTAACTTTTCAGTTTTTCAATCCTATGAACAGAGGTGCATTGCTTTGACGTTAGTCATAGCTTCTTAGATCAGCAAAAGTGGAACTGGAAACTGCAAGAAATAATCATTAAAGTAGCTAGGATGATTTCTACTGTGTGTATTAATGCATATTAATTTAAATTTGGTGTTTAAACTATTGGAATAGGCAGTCATAAGTACTTCAAATCGCCGATTTTAGCTCTTAGCAAGCAGGTGTGGTCCGTAAATACTGAGGATCCGATGTATAGTAATTATCTACCTACATCTAAGAATCAGTGAACCCATTCTTAAAAAAAAAAAAAAAATCCCACAACCTTTAAACTGCTGCTTTTCTAAGCTCATGTTGCAGCTAGCTGTGCTACAATTCTAACACCAGGAGAAAGTTCACTTTATTACTGTCCTCTTTTTAAAAACAGAAATGCAGATGTGAACATTCAGTCCTGGTAAAAACACTGCACTCTCCATCTAGTTTATAGTTTTAATGTCCAAACTATTTAAAACTAACCTCAAGTGTACAAAAACGCACATCAAAACTAAATATACCTCAGTAATACTAGATATATTCAAAATGCATAAAAACCTATCATGTATATTTATAAATAACTTTGTTTTCTGATGTGACTGTATCAGTGCATCCATCCACTTTCTCCCTCGTATCCTGGATTTGAGCAGACGCTCGTACCGCCCCCTTCCAAATTATCCAATTTTTCAAAACTGTCCCAGAGATGCAATCTTCCCTTCAAAGTCTTGGATCCAACAACAAAGCATCACTCTGGTTTAGATTGGGCAAATTGAAACCTTAAAGTCCCAGTAGACGGAGCAAATTATGAAAGCGATAGCAGCTCCTCTCTCTGAGATAACCGTCCTGCTTCTGCTGCTTCACAGATCTGTCACATGAATCAAATCCAGAGGATCCCGGTGAGTAAAGTAGTTCAGATAATTAAAGTGTCTTTACTTCATTTGGTAGATTTGTCAACAAGCACTAACAAATCGTAGAAGCTTGTTAAATCTAAAGACAGTTATTTGATATTATGCGCTATATGTACCGTTCAATTCTTGGTATTTTCTTGTTTTTAATCCCTCAAAGGACAAATGACAAAAAGTCCAACAACAGCCTCATCTTTAACAGCTACCATCACATCAACTCTGTTGACAACCACACCTGTTCCCAAAGACTCCACCACTAAACGTAAGTTTGTTTTTGAGTCATTCTACACTCTTCCTCCATATTTTTTACTTTCTTGCTCATAGATATTTTAATTAATTTGTAATCGGAGACTGCGTACATTTTATCATTTGTTTTGAAGTAATACGTCCACATTTTAGGTTCAGTCGTGTTAGCATGAAGGCTAAAAGACGACAAGGATGGTGACAACATTTCTTTCATTAATGACTTTACTCTTGGCAGATTTATGATTTATGTTCAAAGCTTGAAATATTGTTTCAAACTTCAAACATTACTTTGTCTTGGTTTGTCACATTGAATAAATAAAAATCTAGACACTCTGGGGATTGGACGCCAGACTATTAAAGCAGTTTCTGAGAGAATGTTTGGCTCAGAAAGTGATAAATATGGAAAACATGACCAATAGTTACCTGGATAATAGTAAAGGGTGTCTCCTTTCTTTCTTTTTTCTTTCTTTCTAGAAAATGATCTTACATCTTCAACGAATACGATGACTTCTCAACCACCCAGCCAGAACAGGACAAACAACAATCAAACCACCAACCAAAGTGAGACATTTCTTGATATTTTACTGGTTTTGTTTCTTTAATTTTCTTGCTTTTATTTCTCTACATCTTGTGGCCTGACGTTGATGTAAAAGAACATTTCAATGTGCGATGTGGTGCTTGAAAGATGTCTTGTTTTTTCTGTTTGTATTAGTTTTGACCGCTCCAAGTTTGAAACCCAGTTCCCCGCCTAAAACAAACGACACAAAAGCGACTGAAGGTGAGAAACGATTCCACCATGTGGGTCGGATAAAGCAAAGCTGGTTGCAATTTTTAAGTGTAGCAACCTGGTTTAAAAGATTACCTGGCTCTGAAGACATTTATTATTTACTGTGTTTAAAAAAATAATTTATACCTGCTGTTCACAGATTCGACTGTCTCCACTGATGGTACGGTGCATGTTCTCTTTATATTTTTATTTAATTTCTTTCTATAGAATCGCTAATTTTAAGGTAACATCAGTTTCATTAATTAATTCAGCCACAGCAGCAAATAACATGAGCGGGAACAGAGAACAGAAATCCAGTGAAAGGCAAGAAAAGGAAGCAGCTGAGCAGAAAGCTGCAGGTAAGTTCAATGCTTTACAACGCTGTAGATGATTAAAATAACACTGATGTATCATTTAAATATCAAGACGGACAGTCGGACATTACCGGCCTATTTTAAAACTGTCAGATACATTTTTAACATTTTGATTGACCTGCTTCTCCTCCAACCTCACAAATATTGTGACATTTTAGAGAAAACTCTTAAAAACACCAAACTTTTGTTTGTTGACAAAACGTATGGCTTTTTTTTTTTTTTTTTAATCAATGATGTGAAAGAGAACTTCGCTGATTGGCTGGCGGCCGAGCATTTTGATTGGTTTAATTTCTGAATGTTGTGACATGTGACATTTTGCAGTTTACCAATGAAACATCTGGAAAGGTGACTGGTGCTATGAAAAAGTAGTTTTTTTATTGCTCAATTTCAGATTAAATAAATAATGTTTTATAGTTAGTTTTACCTTCCAAACGCCTCGGTATTTTTCCCAGAAGTCTTTGGAGTCATCCAGATAATTCTGGCTAATTAATTTAGCCACACTGATGGAAGTCAGGGACTTTGTTTCTCATCTCTTCTTGAGTATTTTTCAATCGGAGCATCATGTGTTGCCTTTTGAGATCCCACTGCCTACTTCATGCTGTCACACAGGTTCTGTTTGTGATTCAAAAGACACTCTTACAAGGCCTGGATGCTGCTAGTGAAACTGAACTACATTAAGGCAATTAATCGCAGTTAATCAATTAATTTTTACATGAGATTAGCTTAATTCCCTTAGACCTAGTGGAATATATTGGGCTGTGGTTGCCACTAAATATATGTTGTATTAATTAGCACCATGTACTTTTCAGTTAAGTTGTCGTATATGCATGTTTTCTTTCTGCAGGTGGAGAAACAGACTTCTAGGATGTTTTTTTTGTATTCTTCTTATCCTTCTTTCTCTTTTAATGTCTTGCCCCGCTTCTCTCCTTGTCTTTATTCTCTTTCTCCCTTTTATTTAGAAGAAATTTTGGTAGCACTTTGTTTGAAGGGGTGTGCATAAGACTGACATGAACATGACATAACTGTTTACAACGGTTGTCATGAAGTGTCATTCTGTAAATAATGACACTTTTAATGCAAAGTTGCACTAAAAGTTGCATTGAAAGTCCAGTAAAAGTGTAAACTTTGCATTATTCAGTCAATAATGACCCTTTTAATGCAACATTCTATGAAAATTTGCATAAAAAGTGCATTAAGTGTCAACTTTCCTTTAAAAGTGTCATTATTTATTGAATGACACTTCATAACCACAGTCATAAAGACTTGTTGATGTTCGTGACTGTTATGTCAGTCTTATGCACACCCCTTCAAATAAAGTGTTACTCAAATTTCTAATGTTTCTTATATATATATATATATATAAAGTGGAGCATTATAGAAACAGCCTGAACTGGGATTCTTCTTGGCACTCAGACAACAATACTGAGTGCCAATCTACCAAACAGGACTGATTAAGTAAAGGGTTTTATTGATTCAACCCAAGTGGATCCAACATTAGAAGTCCAGCCCCACTTTGTAAACTGTTTTATCTCTTTCCTTGGTTGAGGTATTTCTACTGATTCACTAAACAGACATGTCAGACTGGATGGATGTTTTACTCTTGTAGGTTCAGACAAACGGCTGTGGTGGCTTCTTCTGCCTGCTGCCCTGGTTGTAGGTGTCGCCGCTCTTTTCTTGAAATTCAAAAGTAAGAAGGTCCACGATCACACAGGTACAAACCAGCTTTTCTCTCAAATACTTCCCTCACTTGATAAGTTCAAGGTTTAATCAGTCATTGCTTCACCCAACGTGTCACCGTCTTGTTTTCTGCTCCTCAGAAACGATCGACACCGGAACTGAGAAGTACGTTTGCTACTGTGAGGCCTTAATTATGTTTTTAAACATTTTGTCCTAGATAATCATGCAGCCTTTTGCCCCCACAGTGCATCGTTCCAGAGCAGGCCGGAGAGCAGCAAAGATGGAGTCATGCTCCTGGGAGTGAAGTCATCGGGCGGCGAAGAAAATGGTGAGCCGCTGTCCCACTGCTTCCTGTCGCAAGCGCTTTCTTCCAGACGCAATCTCCCAGTTATTCCAGGGAAGTCACTGGCTTTTAATATCTCGTTGTGCTCTACGGGCTTCGGCGGCTCTGCCGGGCAACGGAAGGTGTTTCCTGTGATTTCTCGCCCCCGCCCTAAAACAAGTAGCTGGGATTGAAAGATAGCGACTTCCTTGCATAAACACTGATTCTTTTGGACTGGAGCTATTGTGTAGGCCTGTAAATGTCAGCGCAGCCCAAACGCTGGAGGAATGTGTTGATGCCTGTCCGCCACCTAAAAAAATAAAATAAATCTGGGTAGGTATCCTACTCCCCTTCCCTACCGCTTGCCTTGGCTCAAAGCTGCAGAAGGAAATGGATTCATGCCATAGGAATTTTGCAAAGGAAGAAATTGTTTACGTTGTTTCAGACTAAAGGATGTCTTGAGATTTTTTAGAAAACATCATGTAATTCCAATTCAAGCTTGTTTTCCATCATTACTTCTGTTATCTGTGTTACAGCAGCTGCCAGATAAGGAGAGGAAAGTCTACTTCTGCACCCCCAACGTACTGCTGATCTGAAGCCAACGACTGATTTTGGTTCTTAATTTGTGGAAATACTTTTGCAAAGTAGGGAAATCTCTGCAAAATGTAATTTCACACATAGAAAGAGCAAGTTGTGCTTTACAACAAGGACTATGAGGTTCTAAGCATGTTTTGGTGGATTTTCCTCATGAGAAACTAGCAATAAAATTAATTTTGGCTATGTTCACATTGCAGCCCCAAGTTACCCAAACCCGACTTTTGTCGAATCAGATTTTTTATTTTTTATTTTTGGCATGGTTGTTCACTTCCAAATATATGCGACCTGTATGTGTGCTCCGGTGTGAACCGTAAACGAAAGTGTCCCGCATGCGCAGTAGAGGGCGCAATAACGTCACAGAGCGTGCTCAGTGTTTTGCCAACCGCCATAAAAAAACCCGGAGTGCTCAGCATTTGCGGAAGTAAACGTGGATGCTAACGGTGGAGAATAGCTTGCGATTCTGAAGTTATCCAACCGGAGCAACTTAATTCTCATTATTGTCCGTCATGGTTGTTGTTTTTCTTCCCGCTTGCGCGTATCAGGACGCTGAATCTGTCAACCTTTGTCGAGTATCAGTGACGTTCAGGATCTGGCTGTTAGGATTCAGGTCACATTTGAAAAGATCGGTAGATATCCAAGTGGTCTGGGTCGCATTCGAAAAAAATCCAATCTGTGTTGTTCAGACTGCCATATAAATACCATATACAGGTCGCATTAAGGCAAAAAGAAATAAAAATTTATAAAAAATTAACTTGGGTCACTTCGGACTGCAGTGTGAACGCAGCCTTAATTGTCTACAATGGATGAGTATACGTTTAAAAGTGGTTTTGTTTTCTTGTGAAATGTAATATAAGCTTAAAATTTATATCTTAAATAAACTAGGATTCGTCAAAGATTTTTTTTAAATACCCCTTCACCCAAACACGTTCATATATTGTTTTTACCCATATATTGTTTTTACCCGGATTTGTTCATTTTTTAAAGTGCACATAACAAACAGCGCCTCCTACAGGTCACACTGTGTCTGATTATGATGCATGTTAAGGATGAGGATAAACAGACACGTTTTTGTCTTAAACTAAATTCTAAAAGAATAAAAGCTTGCATTTCATCCCAATGTTTTGTATTTAAAGACAAACACTAAATAACCCATGCTTGCTTTGTGTTGTTTTTGTTTACTGGTTTCTGATAAGAACATCCACCATGATCTCCACAAAAAGCAAATCTTACATTAGGAAATGATGGTTTATAATCTTAACATTTAAAATGACTATTATTGCTGTAAAGCTAACTTCTGTCTGCTGTGAAGTTCAGTCCACAAACACATTTTCCCTACAGTGCACTTACCTCAGAATCCTCACCTGTTTAATGAAATAAATCACTTTTTTGTTCAGCCTTTTATGTTTTTGCTCTTGATTTATCTCTGCTGGGATTTTTTGTTATTATTCTAGGTGTGTTTTATTTTGGTGTAATTGTACTTTCCTCAATTTTGATGGAGAAATGTTGCTGAATTTTTCTTCAAGAATCAGCATGAAATAACACAATTATTGTATTTACTTTCAAACTGCTGGAACTGCTTTGTGCTTTATGTCATGAACTATCGGCCACAGTTTCATCAATAAAAGTTTGGATAATGGTTCATTTGTGTAACAATTGTGTCGTGGTGATCATAAGAAATACTTTTTAGAGGTTTTGAACATTTGCTTGGTGCTGATTTTGTGTTAAGACTTGAGGAGCAAAATTAATCTTTAGGGTAAACAGTTGCTGTGTTTTTTGGCCAGCAGAGGGCGCTGAGCGTGAGCAAGTTACTGCATTTGCTGAGGAGTTTCATAAGGTTGTCACCTGATGTCCCCGTTTGATCTTCACACAGAGGAGCTCATGAAGCTCTGTCAGGTCACAGATATGTCCTTACTCCATCTGTGGGCTCAGTAAGGTGAGACCAGAGGATCACTGGGCCCTCTTCCATCAAAACCGAGCGGGCATAATATGCAACTGAGGCCTTACCAACTGCAGTCTGGGCTCAGTTACTTTCTGTAATTGCAGGTGGTTGTGTTTTTTTTCTGCATGCTCTCAGCATTTAGAGTGCAGAAACTAATCTGACCAAATGTTTAGAGTCCCGCTGAAAGGTGAAGGTCCACCACACACAGACGAATCCTACAGCCAGACTGCAAGCCAAAGAAAAAGGACTGGACTGGTTGATCAGTGGTTGTAAGCCCAGTAAAGTTTACATTTATGTGGAAATCAAGATCCTAGAATGAGAAGCGCAGAATCCATGTTGCTTGAAGTTCAGCGTGAGGTCAGTGATGATGCCATGTCGTCTGCTGGTTATTGTCCCCCAGGTTTCTGATGTCCAGACACAGTTGTCTACCAAGACTTTTTAGAGAAGATGTATGGAGATACTGATGCTGCCAATAGTACCAAAAGCTAGCTCAATGACCATGATGTTACTGTGTTTGATTGCCCAACAAACTGGTCTAACCTGAACTCCGTAGGTTGGAGGAAGACGAGAGACTCCAGACCCGAAGGTTTCCATTAGAACCCACAGACCTTGGTATTTTTCCAGTTACTCCTGATCTAAACTGATGTATTGAAATTTTTATTTCTGTAAATTGTGATGATTTTCCTCTTCCAGCTAGTGAAAACATGACATTTAAGATTAGCTGTGTCTGAAGTGAACAGCACAATGTCATTTTTTAAATGTATATATGTTTTGCTTCCCCTAATTGATCCATATGGTCTTCCAGTTTTCTGCAGCTGCTTTTTTTTTTTTTTTTTTACACAAGGGCTTCCACCGCTCACATGAGCAGCCGTGTTGGTGTGTGAGGATCACGTATCACCCAGAGCATCGTCTGCAAAGGAAAACAGCTGTCTCTCATTGCAGTTGAGTGCAACTCAGCAAAAAGCCTCTGCAAGCGGCACGTTTCAGAGAGCAGAGAGGTGCCAGCCGCCACGCCAGGTGCTTTCACATGGACCACATGAGCTTCATCTGGACTGCGGCTGGTTGGTAATCCGAAACACGGCTCCTTTCATCTTCTGGGTCTTTCATGGAAACGGAAGGTGGAGCAAATTTTCAGTCACGTTTCGGTCAATTACATCTGACCGAAGGGGAGGTCAACAAAATGCCACGTGTTTGCTGCACAAAGCAAGAATAAAATGTGACATGTGACGGGACACTTTTATTTCGGGAGAGAAAAATGACAGAGAGCCAAGATATTAAGAAAAACAAATAATACAAAGGATGTACAGTGGATCAAAAAGTGTTCACACCTTGTTAAACCTGGTAAAATGACAGGTTTATATGATTTAAAAAAATTTTTTCAAACTTTTGCAGCTGAGCGATCAAATGATCTTTTATGCAACGTGGTTGCATAAGTGTGCACACCCATAAACCATTATATATTCAGCTTTAGCATTCAGTCATTTAATGAAGGTTCTCATTATGGCTTGGTAATAATTGCTGACTGTACCTTGCAGACATTTTTTAAATCTATCAGATAGTGAGGACCCCACAGGTCAAATCCCTCTTCATTCTTAGCTTTTTAGCAGAAACTTGAAGGTCTTAGGTTAAATCTTTTCATGATTTCATTCACTTTGGAAAAATAAAATCCCAGTTCCATCTGAAGAAAAGGAATCCCCACAGTAACGTGCTGGCTCCACCATGTTTTACTGTGGGTTGATTTTATAATTGTGGGAACCTTTTTAATGACACCACGGTACAGTGTCCCAGTGGTTATAGGCCTGGATGTTTTTCTTAGAATAACAACTTATAGTAGCCCTACCTTTTTGCATTGTTTGGTGGTTTGTTGTTTGATTGGTCGGTTGCTTTCTTGAATTGTTAGCTTTTTCCTGAGAGGGTTACTGACTGGTTGGTTGGTAGATTGGTTGATTAGCTGGTTTGCTATTTGTACTTGGCTTGGTTGGTGTGGTTTTTGCTTTGGTTGCTTGGTTGGCTGATTCTCATGGAGGTTGGTTGGTTGATTAATTAAGTATTTGTCTTAATTAATTAGGTTTTGGACAGTAGACAGCTATTTTTTTTTTTTTTTGCCAGTCTATTAAGTTTGTGGTTGGTGGACATTCAAAAGAAGCACTTTTTAATTTTTATTATATTGTATGTTTAAAGGTCTAGAAATAAATAAGATTATGTTTAATGAAGAAATTGTTGTAAATTAGAATGAAGGTGGTCTCCCATCACCGTGCAAGAACAAGCTGTTATAGACAACAGATGAATGTTGGAAAGCACAATGCTAAAACTGTGGATGGACTTTAACTAGGCAAGAAATGACAACCAAGAACTAAGTGGCTTAGATAAATATAAGATACATCTTAAGATATATGCACTTTAATAGCAAAAGTGGTTGCCAGATTTGTTTCTCTGGATTTTTTGAAATTTTAGTTTAATTATATCCTTTATATGTTTAGTTTTAAGAAACGTCATCAGTTATTTTACTCAAATTCTAGAAACATAAAACATGACCTCTTCAATGTGCCAAAGTTTCTATAAATCTAGAGATCTGCTGTTTGTCAGCATTGTCTGTCGTAACGGCTGCACAGTTAACCCACATTGCAGCTAAATCTGACTACAGATCAGGTTTCAGGCCATGCGTCCACAATCAGTCCCTTTTTTAAACGTTCCTCTTTATTGTATGTCAATGAAGATTTCTCACACATCATATAACCGACTGAGCTGATGATGGAAAAACGGTTTTCAGGCTCGTAAAGTTTTTATTTGACAGTGCAAACGGTCCAGGACAAACGGCTGTCTCAGCAGAAAGTGAACACAAGTGAGATAAAAGTAGGTCAGATCTGAATGAAAGCTTTCTCATGACGCCGTGCATTCTCAAGCTGAGCTCTGGTTCAGATGCACGCCCCGTCTCACTCCAACCATTTATTAATGATATCTCCATCGGCAGATGAGATTAATATACGGCACTTTTTACCCATTTCAAACATTCAAACTGTTACTAGTATTTACTCCTTCCTTAAGTTACCTCACACTCTGTATGTCTGCATTCATGGGGGGTAACATTACCTAAAGAGTGTGACTTTTTCCCCCCCCGGGGCATATTTGTCTCCATGTGACAGGGAGAAAGCTATCTGTCTGAGGCGCCCACTGGATTCCATTACCCTTCATTCAGCAGAGCAGCTGGGGGCAAGTGAGCCAGATCCAGTTACAGCAAGAAAATCTTGGTAACGACGGAGCATGTTGAGAGGTAAGCTGCTGATGAGACGTACTACCGGGCCTGTGCAGCTCCTGCCAGGTCCACACACACTGTAGACACACATCCACGCATGTAATGACAGTGAGAAAGGGGCATTCTAGGGTTTCTGTGCAGTTTTTCATTTGCTTTAAGCATACAGAAACAAATTGTTTTATATTTTGGTTCTAATGAGCCTGAGTTTCTTGTAGTCTTTTGAAGTGGTCTATAATAATAGACTCCAGGCTTTCTGAAGATCTTTGAAACTTTTTCTCTGTTCTCTGGGTGCTTTTTACTTTAACAGCACAGAATATTGGGCTGGTAATTGTCTAAAAAAACAACTGAGGAAAGTAAACAGGTGCAGGATAGAAGTGGTAGTATTAGGGCTATATTTAGATAAAAGTTATGAAATCTTTAATTCTTTGTCATTGTGTTGGTCTTGGTGTATTTACTTGGGGCTTTGTTTGTTGTGATGATTTGGCTAATTATTTAATTTGTAGCCCTAATGTTTTTTGTTGTTGGTTGGTTGGTTGGTTGGTTGGTTGGTTGGTTGGTGGTTGGGTTGTTCTGTATTTCAAATGTTTTTTTGTTTTTTTTGTTTTTGTCTTGATTTTTTTTTTTTCACAAGGGGTCACTGAGCGGTTTCTTGATTATTTGGTTACATTGTTCATTGATGGTTGGTTTGATTGGTCTCTTTTTTGCTTTGATTTGTTGGTTGACTATTTGGTTTGGCTGTTTTTTGAAGCCAAGATTAATTGGTTGGTTGGTTGGGTTGTGAGTCAGGCCACTATTTAGTTGAATGGTTCATTTGTTTAATCTTTTTTTTTGTTGTTGTTGTTGCTCCTGTCTGGGACAGAACAATGTGCGTTGTGTGCTTAAAAATAAATAAGCTCAAGCTGAAAACATTCTCATCTACTCCCAAAGAAGCTGAAGAGCTCAATCTCAGTAGATAAATGATAGTTTGTTTGAGCTTCCTTCACTGTGTAACTCCTGTCTAAAAATGACTTTGGTAATTTTATTAAAACATTGTGCTTATTTTATTGCTGAGCAAGAAACATTTTTTAATTTGAAATTGAATATATTAAACTAGATAATTTTGTCCCATGTGACAAACAGTCTGGACCCGGCTGAAGTACCATATACTTAGCTAATCACCTCTGTCTGCAGCTCAGAAAGTCATCCACAAGCTTCAGTCAGTGTAGAACTCAGCTTGCCATATCATCTCCAGAACCAGTTCACCTGGCACACCCATGGCTCCCAGTCAAATGTCACATAATCCCTCTTCTTACATTCAAGGCCATTGATAACCTCACTACTTCATACCTCAGTGAACTGCTGCAGAGTCTTCCTCCATTCACCTCTCTGTGCCCTTTGCTCAGCCGTCTATATATCTGTCTAATCCTCTATACATACACAGATCTATCTATCTATCTATCTATCTATCTATCTATCTATCTATCTATCTATCTATCTATCTATCTATCTATCTATCTATCTATCTATCTATCTATCTATCTCTCTCTATATATATATATATATATATATATATATATATACAGTCCCGTTCAATAAATTTGTCATCAAATACACTATCATTATTATTGAAAAAATCATTTATAATTTACTAAGCAAGTTATTTAGATTAATTACAACCAGTGATGTTTCAAACCTTTATTTATATTAATTATGTTACTGCTAATGGAAACATAACATTTAAGATCAGAATACTATATAAAACCAATAAAAAATAGATAGATAGATAGATAGATAGATAGATAGATAGATAGATAGATAGATAGATAGATAGATAGATAGATAGATAGATAGATCGATCGGTCAGTTCTTCCACATAGCAACACATATATTTTCTCCACCTATAGAATTTCCAACTGAACTAATCTTTTAGCCAATCAGGAACGTTATACATTAGGCTTTTGAAAGACGCGTTCTGATTGGTTAAACCCTCTGACCAGCTGAGTTGATGAAGGTATAAATATTACTGGGAAGTTCTGCGTGCATCGAGTTTGAATGTAAAAGGTACGTTTTCTGTGAGAGAAAGTGGCGTGGAGTGTGGCTTTATTTCTAAAAACTTAGTTATTTTTGTGGATTCAAGGTGATTAGTTTGCTTGTACATTTTTTTCGTTTTGTCAAGCTTGATTAAAACCTAATTTTTAGTTGGGGACTGCCGAAAGTAGCGTCAGTTAGCTGCTTTTTATGACTTATTAAAAAAAGGTGCTGGTTTAACTTATTGGCGCTTCCCCTGTTTTCCAGGCATCTGTATAGTGGATCAGTAACAGTCACCATGGTTGCTACGAGTAAATTAAAGACTAAAAACACGGAGGGTATTTCGGAGTTGGTTGAAAGGCGGTACGACCAGGTGTGCATCGAGAAAGGTAAGCCTGCTGGCGTTTTCTGTGCGTTTTATTGTTGGCGAACGTGTTGATTATTTCCAGCTGCTTGTTTGTCTCTGTGTGCTGCATGGCTGCAGCAGTGGAAGGGGGAGGGATGGCTATACAGGATGAAGTCATCCCTTTAGCCTCTGTGTAAAAAAAAAAAAAAAAAAGCTGGTGCTTAACCCCATATGCCTGTCCTAGAGCTTTATAAATTTGCTCTACTCAGTTAAGTATTTGATTATTGCATCTTTTTGTCCTTTTTCTGACATACCTGTGCACTGCAGCATGCAAACTCATTATCTTACTGCTGCATTGACTTGCATATTGTTGAAATGACAGTGTCCTGTATTTGATGTGCTTCAACTTCAATCTGTTTGGTTTTACAGAGTTGGATTTCTGGGATCACTGCATGGCCGAACCCCATGCGGCCGCAGACGTAACTGAGGACAGAAGCTGCCACCAGTTGGCTAAGATGTTTGAAAACTGCCTGTCCCGGGCCAAGAAAACGACGTTGCACTGCTCCTCTGTTCTGGTACCAGAGAAGCTGACCCGGAGGATAGCCTGCGAGGTTCTCCAGCTGGCGTCCTGCGAGCCCTGCGGCCTGCGCGGCTGCATCCTGTACGTCCACCTGGAGCAGGAGAAGGGCTGGAAGCAGCTGGAGCGCATCGCATGCGACGCCTCAGTCGTTCCCACGTTTGAGCTGACTCTTGTGTTCAAGCAGGACGGTTTGGCATGGCCCAGCCTGCGGGACTTCCTCTTGATGGGCTCGTGCTTCGGCCCGACCTTCAGGCACGTCATCAAACTGAGTCCAGGTTTCCGTCTGGTCAAGAAAAAACTGTACTCCTCCTTGGCTGGCACTGTGATAGAGAAGTGTTGAACTATGTTGGAAGCGAGAAAGTGTCTCTCTGTGGTGAAATGCACTTAAAAACTACAAGTGAGACCAAAGCGTTGTCACGTTTTCAGCTCTTTTGTACAAGTTTGTCACTGTAAGGTTAGGATTTTAAATGCTAAACAAACCAGATATTTCTGACTTCTGCTTCATAGTCCTTAAAAATTCCCTCTTTTTTCCTTAGAGCAGTTCCTCATTCAAGCACAATTTTACAATTTACCTTTTCAAAATGAATGTAAAAGTGTTCACGTCTACATGTTTGTGGGAGACGTACTTCTGTCAAGGGCACTAGCCACTTTGTAGATGCATCTGTGTTTCCAGATGCTTGAATGTTGAGCTGCAGTGACACAATGGGAGGTTTTCTTCCGAGAAATAAAAGCATAGTTTGGCAGTTTGAGAACAAGGCGATTGTTTACGTGCCCTCACTCAAAACTCTGCTAAAAAAAAAAAAAAAACCTCTGCTCTCACTCAATATCTCAGTTGTTTAGATTTGATGCCTCTTGAATCCTGCAGTATTTGCTTGAACTATAGCTCTCCGGTGCTTTTCCTCTAAGAGATTTACATCTTTTGGAATAATTACCCTTCCAACCAAAGTAATGTTTGTTTGTTTTTTTGTGCAAGAGGCAATAAATTTCTTTGCAGGAAAAAACAATTTCAAGGACAAACGGAGAAGGGCATTTTTCCTCCAGAGTCAAAGTTGTGGGTGAGAGCAATGGATTAATTTCATGAATCTGAGGGGAAACTGGATTGAAAATGTGTGCTCCTAGACTTTTAAATGGAAGAATTCCCATTGAAGGCGTCCAGGCTTGACTTGCAGACCATTGCAAGTCAATGCAGACTTGCAATGGTCTAGATGCCAGATGCATCTAGTTGTGATGATGCGTTCGGGGCTGCAAACATTAAGAGCTGTGAAGACGCCGTCATGGCGGGGGGGGCTTGTCACACCTGGGAACGTGGAGGCCTTAACTCGTACAACTGTCCAATCTGCACTCGGATCACAGCAATGGGCTGTTCTGTGTGAATGTTTTAATGCATTTTTATTTTTATACTGACCGATGCACCTTTACAAAGCAAGAGCCTTTATATAAAATTAAAAGTTTGGTTCACTTGGTGTTGGAGGCTCGGCTATTTTTGTGTACTTCGGTTTGTGACATTCTTTTTCTTTTAATCCTTATTTATTGTACAAGGCAAGTACTTGTTCATTAGCCAATAAAATATTTTATAATTTTTACTGCCTAAGCATTATTTAGTTTAAACATTTTTATTTTTGTTCAGTTGACTTGAATACTGTCTTTCAGCATCATTGCTAATCAAACATGATTGAAGTTGGTTGAGGTGCTTTGTACCAACTTTTACTTTAAATTGGTCCAAATATTCCATGCTGCATGGTTTGTTTTAAAATTCTAATGGTTTGTTAAAACCTGCTAGTAAGTGGATTACAGTGTACTGGAAGGTGTTGAAATTAATTTAGTGCATTGCAATAAATTATTTGAAAAGTTATATTCTATATTTGAGTTTAAAAAGTGAAACTTGCCACTTTGTAGTAATTACTGCTAAGTAGCTATATTTGAATTCAACTTGCATAAGCTAAACTTTAGACTTGCTAAATTTAGTTCTGAGACATTGCAAAAACTCTACTGCCAAGATTATAATGGCTTCTACTTTTTAAAGATTCTGCACTTGGACAAAATAGTGTGCTCAAGTTAAAAGAAAATGATTTACCGGTTAATTTGAGACTGAGGAATCTGCTGTTTCTCAAACCATTTGCAAGAACTTGTGGCATTTCTCAGTTATGTAACTGTAATTACTTTAAAAGGCCTGTTAAAGAAAACATTGAGAGTAAAATTATGACACTCTGGTGAGAGATTTTTCAAGTTCTTTTTCTTTCCAAAAATCCTTATTAAAGTGTTTGAGGCTCTGGAAGGCCTGACCTCATCTAATGATCTACCACTTTGTATGAAACTGTAACCAATTAAGTTATGAGGTCATTCTTGCACAAGCTACTGAACAGACTGACACTGTTTTTGCAGTTAATGGAAAGATCACATGAGAATATGCAAGATGCAGTGTCATTGTGAAGGACAAAGAAGCACTGACCATATCCTGAGGCGCGCACACACACAGCACCCCTCGCCCTGCTGCCTTAATGTGGGTCAGGACTATAACCCTCTATTGTTTAGCCTGTCGAGGTCTGCAAAGCTGTGGGAACTCTTAAACATATGACATAATCTAAAACTGGACAGCATTTTATGCTTTTAACTATTAAAATGGTTTAAATTATTGCTGTAAAAGTTTTTACATTACAACAAACACCAAATGTGTTACGGGTTACGCTAGCCTAACTGCAAAGTTTATTGTCTTTTTGAAAGATGAACCAGCTTTCACCCATAGCCACTTTTTATGTTTCATCTGAAAAGTGTGAAAGCTGTAAAGTGGTAGATTTCCAAGACAGTAATTATGGTCATTTGAAAAATATCTAAAGTTTTTTTTTATTTCCATGCTAGCATTAGTTAGCTTCCTCTTAGCACCAGTTATCCATTTTTAGAAGTAAATTTGAGTGTCAGATTAAACTTATCATATGATGTATGAATAGCTAAGTAATTAAAACCTTGTGAATACTGTCTCATTATACTGTTTGGCTAGGTTAGGCTAATTTCAATGCTGTCTGTCTTTATGCAAAGTTGAGCTAGCTTTATCTTGGCTCCATTTTGGTCAGAAGATTTGGGAGTGGCAAATTAGCTTCTTATCTAACTTATGTTCAGTTAATGAATATAGAAATAAATGAATGAAAAGATAAGTTCTGGGTTATACAATGTTTTACCAACTTAAGCTAACTGTAGCTTGGCCATTGCCTTCCTTTGCATTTCTGTTTGATTCTCGTCTCCCTTCTGTGCTCTGTCTGGGCTTTCTCCCTTTGAGTTTGATTTCTATGGTAGAAATTTTCTGATCTTAACGAAGATTATTACGGAGCATCGAGAAAAGAGTAAAAAAAAGCAATCTTGACTTATTTTCTGGAGATCCTGTGAAAGTTTCTCGAGAGTCTGTATGTTTTGCAGGATACAAAGGGTCAGTTTTGAGAAATAATGATATGATCACAGCAAATGTACACCCATGGGAGAGATTTATTATTTGTTTATGTGTTTATTTATTCCTCCATCCATTATATAACACGCTTATCCTTGCAGGATCTCCAGCAGTCAACAACCAGGAGGCAGGGTACACCCTGGACTTTCTCATAAATAAAACTATTCCCAAGCTAAGCCTAGCTTAGCCTAGCTTAGCTTAGCAATGTGAGCTGGATTCACTTTCAAATGTTTAGATTTTGTCTGGAAGATTTGACAGCAATGAAATGTTAAACATTTTATTTTGGCCCCCAAAAAAGTCAGATTCATCTGCACTTCGCTGAATTCACTTTAAACTTTGACAAATACGAAAGTGATACATTAAGTTTCTCCACCAACTTTGCCAAGAAACTGAAATAAAACATTTTTTCTCAACAGTAGCCTCCCTCATGATTTAATTTCACATATTTCCAGTGACTGCAATGTTTGCAGCATTTTAAACATACATGGTTTTTACAAGAAAATTAATAAACAAATTCATATCTCTCTGCCGAAGAGCCACTCCAACATAACCGTTGTAAACGTAGGCCTGGTGGAAAAGTACTGAAAGCGTTTTCATGCAGCTGAAATCGATATAATCTCAGCTGCACTGTGCTGGCTTGGCAGCTCATTTGCCAAAGCTTATGAATCTAGCGGTGGCACTTGAGATCCTCGGTGTCAGCATGATTCACCTCAGCTTGCACAGAGAGAGGCAGCGCTGTGATGTGCTGCCACAGCCTCGCAGGCCGAGTCTCACTGAGGAGGGTGATTGCACAAGCACTCTGCCTACAGATGTTTACCAACTTTGAGCCACCTTTCTGCCCCTGCGGGGGCTGACAGGGAGGCTCAAAGTCACAGGATAGGCCTGTTTGTTGTGAGGTCTCAGAGATACGCCTGGCATGGTTCCATGTTTCCCTTCCTCCTGACCCGTTTTACTGCCTCCTTTTTGGAAGAGGGAAATCTGATAAACTTGGCTGGAGAGTGATTGCATGTCACCCTGGGACTCCATGTTGCTTATCTCGACGTGTTTATCTGCCTGCTGTTGGTTTGTGTGTATTTTATGTCAACAATGCGTTTTGTTATTTTGTATTTCATCTTTTTTTTTATGTTAAAGATGGCGTTGTTATCGGAGACTCTTTTCAGACTTGCTGTTATGAGCTTTTTAAGATTCAGAGTCTTGCCAGCAAACTCATGTTTCTATATAAAATGCGGAATAAAAATAGCAGTGGTATGCTTCCTGTTGTTTCCCTTTTCTTCACCACTCTTGCTCCATTTTTGACAACCACTGTCCCTTCCCCATCTTTAAAACTCCTCAGCGTTGCATCTTTATTTTTGCTTTACGTAAACATGATCTGTCTCTCTAAAACACTCATTTTGAATCCTGTCCATTTGGGCCAGACTCAGTAAATATCTGAACATCATCAGCTGTGCCATCTCCACCGCCACCTGCTGTCTCTCTATTAATGCCACTGTCTAAACCTTGGATCATATCTGCTCTCTATGCCTTCCTAAAAAACTTGCTTTTCATTTTAGTAGCAATCCTTTTGTCACAAATCCACACTTAACTCTTGTCTCCTTATGCACCGTCTCTTCTTCTTCCCTTTCTCTTATCACCTCAGTTTTAAAATCCTTACATTGACTCCCTGCAGCTCAGAGAATATACTCTGAAATACTGTTAGTTTATAAATCACTGAAGAACTATTGTTGTTTTATCAACCTTCCAGACCTCTCAGAGCTTCTGGTTCCGATCTGCTCTGCATACCCAAAACCAGAACCAAGGATGGAGAATCAGCATTCAGTTTCTATTCACCACAAATCTGGATCAAACTTCCAGAAAACTGAAAAGATGCTGAAACACTGAGCTTCTTTAAATCGAAGCTAAAACCCCTCCTGTTTAGTTTCCTTTGATTCCTGGTAACTGAGACATTGATCAACATTGATTAGCTTGAGGATTTTAATGATGACATTTGAGAAAATGTAATGTTTACTGCTTGTTTCATAATTGGTTGCTGCATCATGTCTTTATGGTGTAAAGCATTTTTTAACTGCCCCATGCTGAAATGTGCAATAAAATAAGCTTGACTTAATGTTAGTGAGAACGCAAGCATCAGTGTTCTGGATCAGTTGTAGCTCTCTGGCTGACTTTTTATCCAGACCTGTTGCAGTGACTAATGCGACTTTAGATGAATACATGGATGAGATTTTCCTCAGACATTAGTCATTTAATCCTACACATATTCTTCAGGCGATCGAAGGCCGACTTTGTAATTATCTCTATGTGCCTCTGGATGTTCAGGACTTTGTCTATCAGATTGTTGAGGGAAAAAGTTTGATTTAGTGCTCAGTTGTCATCAGGAGACAGTATCAGTCCAGAAGAAGAGGGTTATGTAAGTTGGGGATCGTGATGTAGTCTGTGAACATCGTACTGTGTCCACGGTGACTCCTCTTTGACCTCATCTATCTCTCGCTCGATTACCTCTGCAAACCTCGAGAGGCTCAAAACTGACCCCTTAACAAATCACACCTCTATCTTTAAACTTCTTGTGACTAACACTGCACACCTCACTACTGTCTCACTGTCATTGCCTTTCTCTTAAATCACTCTGACAATTTATGGCTCATCTACCTTATAGATACGCTCATAACATTTGAGCTATTCTTTTCCCTTTGACTCTGATCTGAATTAAGCTTTACTCTCGTTCAAAAGCAAACACCATTAACACTCATAAAAGGTGGGATTTAAAGAGATTTAAAACATAAAAATGTATTTTCCAAGGAAAAGGACTTTAAAGACAGATTAAAAATGTCAAATAAAACTGAAACCACAGCAACATAACAAAAAAAGAAATCCAAATGAATTACTTTGTAACCACTTAGTATAACCTAAATTTGATCTCTGACCTGGTCTTTGTGTGACCTTTACTGTTTGTCAGTTTTAGCAATACTTAGAAATATTTGCTGAAGAGTTGATTGTTATTGATTTGGAAAAGTTCCATATTCAGGTCAGGTAAAACAAATGACCTTACAAACATCTTCAAGGGTCTTCAAGGCAAATCAATAGGAACAGATAGCACTAAACACACAAGAACATCCAATCTGACTGCAGATAGTGCACACAGCAGCTCTCCCAATTTAACTTTGGATTATTCAAACTTTTGTTTTTAGATTAGATAATTTTCTCTTCTCCTGACCAAAAACTAATCTGTTTGACATCTAAACCACCTTTAATTAATCTTTTTCTTTGCCTTTCAAAATGATTTTCCAGACTAAAAAACATCAAAAAATGTTAACATGCACATGAGAGCAAATTTGATTCCAAGTAGGAAATTAAATGGTAAATTAGTCCAAATGCTTACACACTGAAATGCAAATTTACATTCACAAAGACTCTTTCATTTTATGACAGTCATGTCAGTTTTATGTATACCGTTTCAAATAAAGTGTTACCCTAAAATTGTGCTTGTTGTCAGTAGTTCATAGAATAAAAGAACAATGTTCATTTTACTCAAACATATACCTATAAAAAGTAAAATCAGAGAAAATGACCATTTTGAGTGCTCACTTCATTTTTACCACATCATGTTTGCTAAGTTTTAATGAGTAAAAGCCTTCAAACTTTTGCCAAATAGTTTGTGAGAACCTGGATTAAACCTTGTTGTTTGATATAAACTTTGTTTAGCTTGTCAAAACAACATTAAACCATACTTGTAGTATGTTCGAAAAATAGCATCATGACTTGTTGTTCTGGTTTTACACAGTGATGCAAATCACCTCTTGGCCTGATCAGATTATATTAACTCAAATACGATACATCATTTTGAGTATCAAGTGGGTGCAGATCTTTAATAAACTATCATGAATGCTGTAGAGTGAAATAAAATATCCCTAACAGGCACATGATGCGCGGGTTTCACTGCAGCCTATCCCTAAAAGAACTATGGATATTTTGAGACGTTGCCATGTACCACGCAGCCAGAACAGAGTGTCACTCTGTCTCGCTGCTGTTTGACCTTCGTAGGGCACTGCCTCCGTAACTAATGAACTGCTGGCGTGAAAGATGAATTTCTCTGGCATCTAACAGGTGGGCGTTGTCTTGCTTTTGTGCTTTTATGGGCCTCTGTTGAGAGTGGGCTGCGAAAAGAAACACCCGGACAGCAATGTCCCATTTATGCTGGTGAAACTGTTCGGAGGACATTGATTGAAATTTAGTGGCAAACAAGGAAGATAGCGCAGAGAGTCACTGTGATAGGACACAATAACCAGAGAAAGAATATTGAGCTGAGTGCACTTACGGCTTTTTAGGTCGTATTTTCTTAAAGGTGGAAATGAATCACGTCTTTGGCACTGATCTTGTCCAGTGCTTCACTCAGAAAATCTAAAAAATAAAAAGAGAGAAGTGCTACAACACCATTTCAAAAGTACTGTGACTCCTTTTAATGACTGTTTATAGTGTGTGGGTGCAGCAAAGTGGCCTGAAATGCTTCACTCTCCGTTATCATAAATTCAGTGAAGTGTCTTTAATTGTATTCCACTTGATGATGAGTTTAATTACCATTCAAAATGTTCTCTTTATTTAAATAAAAAAGTGCACATGCAGCTTTATTTCCATTACAGCATTTCACAGCTGTATTAGATATAATTAACCTCATTGACTCATCAGATGGAACAATATCTTTGTTTTTTAGATATCACAGTGTGTGTGCCCTGAGTTTGTATTCTTAAAATACCCACTGTCATTGGTTCTCACACAGATATCAAGCAAAATATGTGTCAGAATATTAATTACAACTTACATTTACTTACATAATGAGCATTTACAGTAGCTGTGTGTATGCTGGAGTTTTTAGATTTTACACACCTGATACTGATAAGACATAAAACCCGAGCCCAAATAAAAGTCAAGCTACTATTTGTATCGCTCATGATAACTACGTTTAAAAAAATCGTTATCAGAACATTTCTAGACTTCATACTGTTCAGCCTCCAGCTCTAGAAACTGGGCCAAATAACAGACAGTTGAATAACACTGGGCACAGGAGTAGGTATGCCTGCTCCTGCCATCTTGTGGACAACATTAAGTAAAACATTTAGGAATTTAGGATAGGATTGATTAGAGTTCAAATTAATGATTGAATATATTTTAAAATATAGATATAAATTACTTTTATAAGTAGTTTTACTTCGCCATACTTTTTACTTTCACTTGATTTTTTTACACCACCATAATTTTTATTTTCACTTGATTAACTTTATTATGAAATATCGCAACTCTTCCGAGTTATATGTTTTAACCAAAATTACACCAGACACAGCTATCTATCTTGTTTATACTTAAGCTTTATACACAAGTTTTGTTGTTATTATGAAAAGCGTGCCTTCTGAATAGTTGTTATTTTGTAGTTATGTTATTTATATAAATTTATTATTTCGGTCTATAAAACCAGAAGTTGCTCCAGACTTTAGCTTTTATGATTTGCTTGTCTGTTGCCATCATTGTAAAGTGTTAATTCAGACATAAATGATGAGTTACTCAGTACTTACGTAGCCTTTTCTCTTGAACGTCTGCTTTTTACTTTTACTTGAATAAAAATATGTGGAAGTAGTGCTACTGTTACTTAAGTACAATTAGTAGGTAGGTGATACTACATTTCATAACCAAATTTTAGACAACAATCTTGACGCTATGTGTGTAATATACAGAGCAAGAATGGTCAATGCAGAAAAGCAGAAATTATAACAATATTTAACTTAGAAGTGTCTAACAGAGCAAACTACTAATAATGTAGTTTCCTTACTCTTCTATAATTTAGCTTGAAAGTAAAGCTTTCACGGTACTATTAAATGAGGTGCGGCTCCTTTAAGAACTGTGCTTAACGGTGACCTGGTTGCTAAGGACAACACAAACATTCTACATGAAAACTTCATAGTTTTAACTTCTTAAACCTGGTTTTTGGCGTTGTTTTGTTAATTTTATACCCCATACGTTTTCAGAAATGCCACCGGCAGGTAAAAAAGGCTCTGGTAAGAAAAGTAGCCCTGTTCAACCTTTTAATAAGAACTGGGAGGCTGATCTCGTCAAAGCGCAGTTTGAGGTTTGTCATTTCGACTACTCATCTTTGTGTTCTTGATACTTGTATATCACCATCACCATGTTTACATAGAACTATGCCACCATCTTTGAGGTGGCATAAACCCATATGTCAATAAATTCGACATCAACTGTCGAATTTATTGAGACTTACTTTTAAGCTTTTACTTTGAAAGGTGACCGACAACCGGAAGTTTCTTTTATGTATTTATTTATTTGTTTGTTTGTTATAAGTCTGTGTGATATTACACTCCATTCCACTAGATGACGATAATGCACATCTAAACGCTGTTTCCCAACCGCCATAAAAAAGAAGTTGACGTTCGTCAGAAAATTTGCTACAGCCAAACTTACCATAGCCAGTCGAAATTGTAATTTTTATCTTGTTGCTTTTTTTGTTTTCAATTTAAAGACGTTTTGAGTTTCTTTGCTACTTAGTGCGCCTAAAGCAATACATTTTATGTATTATGACGGAAACATTACTTAAATCACATGCTAGTCTAATTAGCAGCAATGGCGGTTCTTCAATTAAGCGGTTTATCCCGGTGTCATGACCTCCACAGGACACTTGGCTTGCCTGTGTGTCTCTCGTTGTTGGAGATGGCCCAGAAGAAGAGGAAGAACTCATCAAATCTCTGGTTTTGAGTTTTGAACATCCACAGCGCAAACTTTTCTCCCTCATATCGTGGGACAGCACAGTTGAAAAGGTAGGTGTCTGTTGCTCTTCTTATTTATTTGACCTGAAAAAAGTGAAAGCCATGATATGTTTGAGCTCTCCGCTGTTTATGAAATCATTTCTCAGAAAAATGTTAGGCATATTTGGCTAAACGGAAATTTCAGCATGGACCTAAAATACACTTTATCAAGGTTTCCCCCAGAAAACCTGCTAAGCCCAGTGGTTGGGTGCTCGGCAGTCGTTCATGCGACCCGTCAGGTTTTTGAGTTAAAAAATGTTTAAAGTTGACAGGAAATTTGAAAATATCACTTGATAATTATGTGTTACTAAAAAACTGCAAGATTAATACCTGAACACCAACTATAAAATCTGAAAAAATGCTAACATTTTAAAAAGACCTAAATAAATAAGCAATGCTTAGCCTGGTGGGGGCACAAGTAAAGCCTGGTAGCCCGCCAGGCTTATAATATATTGGGGGAAATCCTCCTATAGTATTTGGTGCTGAAAAGTTAAATTTTACTCTCACCTGACCAGAGCAAAAAACCCTGCAAATTTAAGTTTGTAGATGGTATTTATTGCATTGTTGCTGCTTCTGATTGATCATTCTCCTCATAGATCAATAAGCTGGGGAATCCCAAAGCAAAAAAAACAGACCCTCTTCCCTTGTTTTATGAGGTAGGTTTGGGATACTGGACGCTTTAGTTTAATAGCTGCACAATATATCAAATCACCATCATGTGATGTGAAACATTATGATCGTAAAGAACTGCTTGGTTGTAATATTTGGACTGGTGGACGGACTTTTAATTTTTACATGTTGCAGACCAAGATGTCTAAACTCATTAAGTTTTCTTTTCTAAAAATATTTGTGTGATGCGTGCTTGGGTACATGAATTAGTCTACTGAGCATGCCAAGACGTTGCTGGATGCCGGAGAGGAGATTCCCGTCGACCTGGTGGCAAAATTAGTGAAATTCCAGCTGCTGGAGGTCAAAACCTGTGATCAGAAGAGACGGGAAGTTGAGCGGGTAAATGCTTCGCCAGAAAATCTCCCTCTGTGTTTTGCAATTCTTTAGTTTGTTCACCAGGAGTGGGATTTAACTGCACTGAATTACTTTAGAGCTCACATTGTCTACCAATGGTTAGTTTTAATGCTTTTTTTTGTCAATTTCAGCTGAAAAGTGAGGAACAGAAAGAAAAGACTCAGCCTCAATCTGATGGCAAGGGCAAACCAAAGGACAAAAAAGAGAAAAAGGGAAAGGGTCAGGCCCCAGGAAAGGGCCAGACTCCTGGTGGAGACAGCTCCAAGGACAAGAAAACCAAGCTCAAACGCAGAGGCGAGCCTGAGACGCCTGTATATATAGGTAAAGAAAAATCCTGTCAGGAACTCTAGCCATTTATCTAGATGTGAGTTTATTTCTTATTTCATTTTTTTCCTGTAGCATATTATTCTAGTGATCACAGTGTGTCTAGACACACTTAAAAAGTCTGAAATTTGGTGAGCCCTTTGAGAAAACCTTTTCAGCTCTTAAGAACAAGAGTCACCAAGGGGGCAACATGGAAGGTTTACTGATGCCCAAAGGGCAAAATCAAACTGGCATTCGAGGCCTTTTATTCCTTTAGCTCTTTAGTTTTTAATTGATTCGAGATGAATTGTACTATTTGGAGTCCTGATGTAATTTCCTAACTTGACTCTTACTGTTTTTCCCTCAGATGATGAGCCAGAGGATGGTCCCCAACACTATATTCTGATAGTCGGCTTCCACCAGCCAGACCTGATAGGAGTACTTAATACCATCGGTGTTCATGTTGCCAATGTCATCAAGTTATGCTCCAAGCACAAAGAAATCTCTCCAGAACCAGTACAGCTGATCGTTCAGGAGGAAGCGGAGCAGAGCTCTCCAGTTGTGCCTGCAGGTTGAAAGTCTCCTACAGACCAGAAATATGAATCTAGTATAACGTATTCCGATATTCACCAAATGTTTCTGCTTTCTCTGGTGTTCAGAGGTTCCAGAAAGTACCAGGAAGCTCAAGCTGTTCTGGACTCGCCTGAGGTCGGTTTTAGACAGCGGCCCGCCAGACTCTAAGCTCCACGACGTGATTCAGCTGAGCTACATCGTCCCAGATCTCACACTCCCGTTCGAAGTACCAGACCCTAACTCTCTGGTGAGCAGAGTCTGAGCATTTTTGTTGTTATTACGGCTTTTACGTATTTTAAGACTTTTTTTTGTCCCTCCCTGCAAATGTTTACAGCTGCTTAATGTTGCGTGTCGGTCTTTTGCGTTCAGCTGGAGTTGGGAAACCGGATGTTTGACGATGTTGCCAGGCTCATCTATGACTGTCTGCAGTGGCGCCGGCAGCATCTGCACTACAGAGACAATGTTCGGCTCATCCCTGTACCCACAGCTGTAACGGAGGATGTAGAGGTAAAACTAAAAGCTAGCATACAGAACTGTCTTTTTCAGAATATTCTGATCGATTTCTGTTTACCAGAACATGTTTCGATGTTCCAAATGTAAAATGATCACTGGCACACATGAAAAGAAGTTTGATTTCAACCACAATCTGATTGAAAAATGCACACATTATGTACATAAAAATCTGTGTGTTATCCTGTTCTGTACACTATATCACAGTCCTGAGCATATTTTTGTTTTTACAATTGACCAACCTGCTTTTTTATTGACATATACTATTAATTTAGGATTTAAGATAAAAATAACACATTTCTCTGCTTTCCTGTAGCTTGAGTCTGATTTAATCCAAACATTGATGAAACATTTTAAGATTAGAGCCCCTAAAATGCTGTTAGCAGAGGATGGTTTCGATCCATCGACCTCTGGGTTATGGGCCCAGCACGCTTCCGCTGCGCCACTCTGCTCTGTGCTGTATATGGAGAACTGTACATTATTTACGGGTGCAGGAGATCCCGCTGCGTTCTGCAGATGATTTCTTATTGATCTGCCTTAGTAGCAAAGCCACAGAGCAATCTGCTTCTGCATTCATGGGCTGTTGGCAGTATGCCACTGCGGATGGTGCATGACTTGATTGCCTCCTGTTAAATGTATATCCTCCTACGCCCTCTGCTGAATCGAGTTAGTCTGTTTTCTGTTTCTAGTTAATTAAAGCTTCACCTTGTGTGTTTCCAGGTACCTGTTGAGCCCGTTGCTCAACAGATGCCTCGCTCTAAAAAGAAGCCAACCAAAGCATCTAGCTTACTACCTTCAGGTTAAACCTCTCTATTCCTAACTTATCTGTCCACTGTTCATTCATATCCTTGCTTACTTTTTTACATACCCTGCTGGTAAGGTCTTCTTTTTCTAGAATCTGTCTCCTCTGTGTACAGAAATCAAGCCGTCTATAACTGTATCTGTGAACGTGGACATGTGTTACTATAGCAAAATGTTGGACATGGTTCCCCCTGAAGCCTGTTCTGTACCCCTGATATTGCACTGTATGCTAGAGCAGGTAGGTGTGCAACATCTCCCTACATTTCTAGGTTAAATGTTTAATTTTTTTAACATGAAAGATTTCCCGGTTTCCTCTTTATTTATTGTGGCATAAACAGTTTTTCTTGCACATACATTTCTGTTCAGGTGGTGGTTTCCTCAGAGGTGCCTGTGCTCCCTATGTTTCCCATTGTTGAGGAAGAGGACAAAGCTGGCACCGCTCGCTGGTTAGACTGTGATCTGGTTAGCTATATGCTCCAAAGCTTCCTGCCTCTGCTGAACACAGAAGAAGAGAAAAATCATTTGTTAAATGAGGTCCTCGCTACTGTGGAAAAGGAAGAGGACAAGGCGGTATGGCGACGCCAAACACACACATCAGTACATTGAAATCTCCACGTAGATGAAGCTACATCATCTGCAGCATTGGTGGTTCAGTGGTAGAATTCTCGCCTGCCACGCGGGAGGCCCGGGTTCGATTCCCGGCCAATGCAGCAAATGCTTTTTAAAGGGTGGTCTTTAGAGCAGGCATCTCATATTTCAGTGGGCAGGACCGTCTAAGAGCAGCCAATGTTGTTCTGCTTTTTGTATGCCGCTGTGGCAGCATACACAGATTACGCCCGCTCTGACGTCATGATCGGGGGAGGATCGTACTCTTCTATGAGCAGACTCGGCTGCTTTCTTTCCTGTGTTTTTCATCTTGAAGTGTGAAGCCACTTCAAACCTTGCCTGAACATAAATTTCCTTTCTTTTTATTAAGTGTTCTCACAAATCAGTCAAAGCTAACTGCACCATTTTAAAAGAAAGAACATTAGACCAATTAGCAGTTTAAAAGGGTGAAAAACGAAAGGAGGAGTTTATGGGTTGAGTTCTGATCAGCTGCAGAGCTGATTCCAGAACAACAGAGATTTGAGAATAGGGAGGTCATCAAATACTAAAGTTAGTTAAAATGCTTTATGTAGCATTTAGACTATTTTTAGCACTAACTTTTTAACTGAAATTAGCTGAAATGCTAAGGTTAGCTAAAATGCTGTCCATAACTTGTGAGCTATCCCCAGCATGTTCACTAACACAGCCTTAAGACATTCAGTATGTAAAGTTTAGTTTTTATATCTAAATTAGCTAAAAAGCTAAAATTAGCTTAAATGCTACTATTAACATATAGGCTATCACTAGCATGTAAACAAATATTGACTCACTCTCTTGAGCATGCTAGCAGTTTGCTAAAAATGCTGTCAATAGCATGTGGGCTATCACTAGCATGCTGACTAATATCCTACACTGTTTACTAAGCAAACATTAGTTTGTAAACTAAAATTGGCTAAAATGGCCAGGTTAGCCAAAAAGCTCTTTGGGCAATCACCATCAAGTTAATATTGACTTATTCTATCAAATATAAGTTCAGCTTTTATATCAAAATTAGCTAAAATTAAAATTTTAGCTAAAATGCTAACATTAGCATGGCTATCACTAGCATTTTGACATCAAGCAACATATTCCATCTAGTGTGAAAACAAGCATAAAACTGAAATTAGCTTAACTAAAATATGGTCAGTAGCACATGGGCTACTGACCATGTGCTACTAGCATGTTGGATAACAGTGACTTTAGTCTGTTAAGCTTTGCTTTCATATCAAAATTAGCTAAGATACTAATGTTAGCTTAAATGCTGCCATTGTTATGTGGGCTATCATGAGAAAGTTGACTAACATGAACATGTGCATGCGCTAAAATTAGCTTGATTCTATTCTAGAGTTACCTGAAATCCTCTCAATAGGACGAGGTATTACTTTCCTGTTGGCTAACATTCACTCACTCTATTCAGTATGCTAACGTGTGCTAAAATGCTGCCAGTTGCATGTGGACTATCACTTGTATTTTAATAACGTTGTCCTACTCCATTAAGTATGCAAGCATTAGTTTGTATGCTAAAATTGGCTAAAATGCCCAGGTTAGCTTCCTTGTAAAAGAGAGAAAGATTTACATGTCTTCTTTCAGCCAGCTGACTGGCAGTGCTTATTTTAGCAGCTTTGAAACCGTAATCTGTTAAAGCTTTGTTATACTGTGAAACCAGGAACTGCACAATGCTTTCCAGTAAAAGGGTTTATGATGGATGCCCCCTCTGTCAATTCAAGGTTAAACCACACACCAACCAATTCCACTCTTTAATTCTTTGTCAAACAAAGTGTAAAAGTTAGAGAAGAGTGCACAACAAGATGCTTAAAATACATGAAACTGTTAAACTTAAAGGGAGTGTTCTTGTATGTTCTTCTGATGCACTGCATGAACACAGAGCTTTCTAACATCTCTACTTTCTGCTTATGTCTTCTACGTTAGAGACTGATGAGGAATTATGGGGCAGAGCATGCTCAGAGGCCTGGCGACCCTGTGCTTCTCAGATACCACGACGACAGGGGAATACGATTACAGAACGTCACCGTGAGGGTTTATTCTCAAACTGTTAATTCCATGTTTGAAGTGTTTGTACACCTGATTTTATATGTAAGATTTTGTGTCTTGAGTCAGTTATCAGCTCCTTACTCACCACTAAAATGTGTGCTAATATAAATAATCTACTCTACAACTTAGAGCGATGTGCTAGCTGTGTGTTCATCTACATGTGTGTGACCCATGCAGGTGGTTAAGGGTTTTAATCCAGCTCAGGTAGAAACATCCATTTTGAAGTCCAGTCCAGTCTTGGAGCTCATTCAGTCCGTCGCTGAACAGAGAAACGGCGACACCTGCTGGAGGGGAATGAAACAACAGCTGCAGCACTACTGCACGGATGGTCAGACCTCACCAAACCCGTTGCCAATTTGCTATCTCTGTTCCCTGTTTCCTCTACATGTCTCACAGTTTCTTAACGTAATAATCTCCTATAGAGGGCATGGCCTGGCCCGAGGTGGAGCGGCTGTTTGATCAGAGCGTGTTTGAGGCTATGCCACTGACCACGGTGGACCAGCTGGGTATTTTACCCAACGATGATGAAACACAGCAGACACAGACTGTTATCCCCTGGGGAAATCCTTTGTTATATGCTAAACAGAAGCTTCAAACCCCACGGACTGTAGGTATGTAAGCATGTTAAACTGCTCAGAGACACCAGATGCCACCTGCGTACCTCATACTGTCACTTCTCTACAGAGCCGACATTTCTCACTGAAGACCCTGGGAACTCAGAGGTATTGTTTACACATTATTTCTGCTGCCGCATCAATTTTGAAAAGGAAATATTAATTTAAAGATTGACCTTGGTTTACTTGCCGGTATTCTTCTTTCTCTAGCACCTGAATGGGGAAATCTGCAGCCAGCTGGATTTATGTGAAATCCAGAGTTGGAGACAAAGATGTCTGTTTGACTGGTACTATACAGAACATCACAGTGCCACTGTTTTTCCACAGGTGTTTTTTATTTATGACTCTCTAATTACAACAGTATAGAACATCTCTGTTTCTGCTTCACCGATTTCATGAAAATCGGTGAAGCAGAAACAGAGAATCCAGGTAATCGTTGAGATTGTTTAAAAACCTGCTTTTAACTCCGTGCATTATCCGTTTTCTCTCTAAATTTGTGTAGTTTTCTGAATTGTTCTTCTAAAAGAAACTGGATTTGAACTTTGCACGTTCTCTTGTTTAGGTTCTGCAAAAGGCCTCAGAGGAATATTGTTGCATGGACATCTTCAGAGGAAGCTACGCAAACATCTTGTATGTTTTTTGCCACAATCCTATGAATTCTCACGGCCTGTCCAAACATTTCTGGGACGAGGCCCTCCACACTGATGTCAAGTTCAGGTCAGCACTTCCTCCCTCACCGGACGCCGTTTTGTTGTTTCATACTCAGTGGAATTGGAAATGAATACTTACCAATCAAAAGAACAGAGTCTGATCAAATTGCCAGGAATTGAGTATGCAAAAGTGTTCAGTTTGGAAATAAAAAATTGTAGCGGCTATGTCAGGTGAAGCTGACATTCCTCCAGATCTGCAGGTAAATATGATTCCCCTGATGTTTACCGTAGAAAATATCTGGAGCACGTTGCTGATAAAATCTACAACTGGACAAAGGAGGAAGAGGTGAAGAGGGAGGAAATGCTGATGAAAAGCCAGATGCCTCCTGAGACTCCAAAAGGTAATGTGTTGGTTTCAGAAAAGTCTGTGTTGAATAAGTAAATATGCACACACACTTTGCTACTGCGGGTGGCAAAACATTTAACTTAGTGGAAATTTTATGGAGCAAAAGCTCGCACAAACCGATTTCTACTGACAGTTTGTGCAAGGATAAAATTATATTGTCATATATTTACAATATTTTCCTTTTCTGTACTGATTTATTTCAATTGTCATGTTTGTTATTCATTTATAATTTGCTTAATTTAATGTTTATTGTAGCGTATTTGGCCAAAACGTTTGTTCATATATTGTAGAAAAAACATTTTCTGTACAAATATTGTAATTAAAGAACCTAAAGAGTTGACTTTTTTACCTGAAAGTCAGAAAATCTTCAATTAAATTAAAATTTCTAGTCCTGGGTTTTAGTTTAGGAATTGCAACAATTTATTTGGTTGTAAACAGGCAGAATAAATGAGTATTTTTATTATTTTTACTATACTTTTTAATCCGTTTGCCATGGGAGATAAAAATATGAAGTTATGTTTTTAGGGATATAGTGCATAACCTCAGCATAAATGCGGTATAAAACCTGCATTTGTTTTATTCCTTGTAGACCTCGAATGCCCCGCAGTGGCGGAAGAAGCTCAGGAACCCGTCATCAGAAAGGAGTCCCTCAAAGTCGGTTTCCTCAAACCCAACACTGAACTCACACACGGGCCACACAATTATTCAGTAGCGTGTAATTAACCAGAGCCTGCAGTGCAAAGCCAGTTCATCATTACCAGGACATCTTTTCATTATGTGACTCTAATGTCCCACAAACACGGTCGCCCTTAGCAGCACAGCAGCATGTATCAGCTTCTATAATTAAATCCCAGTTGTCTGATCTACGAGGTTTAAAATGGAGTTTAGTGTAAAAGAACAATTTCTGGTGGGGAATACAAGAAGGGGAGCTGGTCTGATATAAAACGGTGTAAATGAAGAATTGCTGCTGGGTTATACTTTGCCTTGCAAAAGTATTCACAACCATAAAAATTTTTCTAATTTTTTAATTGAAACGGCAAACTATATTTTATTATAAGTTATTTGTGAAGTAGAAGTGTTTTATGAAAGGTGTGGAGTTCTGTTAACTTAGAACCAACTTTTAGCTGCAAGTTTTTCAGTGCCTTTCTCTCTGACCAACTTCCCTCTCTGCACTGATGAAAAGCAAACCCGCAGCATGATTCTGCCATCACCATATTTCAGAAGTTCAGGGAGGCTTTATACTCTCATCATCCTAACAGCTTTTCACTTTCAGGTGACAAATTCACTCTTTCTCACACGTATAGTCGTGTCTCACTATACTTGTGTGAACATTTACTTTCGTTAATTTCTAAATCTCAACCAAAGTATGAGTTTATATCTAACAATAACCTAAAAAAATCTCACCCCTGATGTTTTTCCATTGAGTGGGTGCTCAAAATGTCCACACAACCACATGAAAGCATTCACAGAACCTATATAATCATCATTACCATCTACTTTGATGCCAGAAGGGGATTGGTGTGCTGGATATTTTAGGTGAAGTACATTGTAGTTTGTGGTAATCAGATATCGGTACTTTTACAAGGTACGGAAGCTGTTTTATAAAACGTTTCATCTGCAAAGAATATCATGTAAACTGTAATACCTTCTCCTTCATTGACATATCAGTCAGCAAATTATTTATTTTAGTTAAAAATAGACGTGGCTCTATTTCACATTCCCAAGCAGACGCTTCACTTCTCCTTTGAAGTTATGGTTCGTGTTGCCTGACAGGCCTGGAAACTGGAGCAGGAGCGGCTGAAGAGAGAGGAGCTGGACAAAAAATTAAAGAAGGACACTAAGGGGAAGGACGCTAAGGGGAAAGGCAAAAATAAATCAGACGATAACAAATCGTCTGACAAGAAAGGCGGCGCTTCGGCTGGTGACAAGAAGGGCAAAGCGGATAAAAGAGCCAACTCAGCCAAGACCCCCGTCGAATCTGCCGTTTCCATAGCATCTGCTGATTCTGAAACGGCCTCCCTGAAGAAGGCAGAGGAACCTGACAATGTGAAGAAACACACAGAAAAATAGAAATCATTAAACAGGAAGGCACTCTGTCCTCCTCCAGCTGATAAGTAGGTGTTTATTTATTGTTGTTGCCGTAGAGATTCATTGGCTACACCATGGACGGACAGCTGATCCAGGTGTCGGGATGTGCCCAGCAAATCTACACCTCAGATGGAGGACGCGTCACTGTGGAGAACGTGAACTTTGTCGAAGGTATAGATGGTTAAAATCAATCTGTGACTGAGAGTTTCTAACACGTTTGCTTGTTTAAAGTGTATTTGGTTGTTCCTCGGCCCTGACCTGAAGTAAACGATGTTCCATCTCCAGGTTCTTCCCTGATGAAAGTAGCGTTGAGGAAGGACGGACACCATTTCTACACGCACGTCAACCACGTTGTTACCAAACACCTGAAACCTCCCAGCGAGCCACAGGACAAAAAGAACACAGAGCAAAAGGACGGAGTGAAAGGTGATTGGATAGCATCTCATCAGAAGTTTACATAAACTCAATATCTTCATGACTTTATTGTTTTACTAGGTTGGTTGATGATTAATTGATTTATTTGAATCACTCTCCTTATAAGGTTGAATGGTTATCTGGTGTATAATTATTCCACCTCAGAAAAATAACTATTATAGTTCATCATTAACCCTATAAGACCTAACTTTTTGAATATTTTTGCTTATTTTAATTGTACGCAGGTCTTTAAATGTACTGTGAGTAAATATATATTTGCCCATTTATCCATAACAACTGGAAGTTTCAATATCTAGCAAGTTATTTTCACAATTTACCGTCTATTCGGAGAGCGCCCCTCAGATTAATTTCACTTCCTGCTATGGCTGGGGTGAAATTACCATTATAACTCGATATTGGTTAGGAAGCGCAACGTCTCCCCTTTCAGAAACTGTTGGAATTTTTCAAATAGCGCAAAGTGTGGCGGACATACGGTACTGCAAATTTGGCTGAATCGTCGCGGACCTGTTTGATCTGGAAGGGTTAAAAAGTCTATGCCCTTTGGATCTGTTCGTGCCTTAATGTATTTGTATTAATATTAATGAAAACCCCCTCTGTTATTGTGTCTCAGTTTTAGAGCCAGAAGCAGTGAAGCTGTGTTCCTTCTCAGCAGTCCTTCACAATCAAATCCACCTCTCATACAGTTTCTACGGCGCAACAGGACAATACAAAGGTTTATTACACAATAACCCGGATAATAACATATTGTCTGGTTTGAGTTGGAAACACCTGAACTGTTCTAAATTGGTGCTCTAAATATTTATCATGGACTATGTAATTTTTTTCGTGCGAAACAGAAAATCGTATTTATTTTGAGTTTTAGAGAGTCTTGAGGAGGAGGCGACCAAAGAGGAAATCCCAAAAGCCTCCCCAGAAGAACCCGTCGCTTTGCCTTCTCCCAACTCTGGCACCATGACGCCGAGGCCGTCCAGTCAGGTCAGACTTCCCGTCCCGATCGCTAAACACTGATACAAAATGTAAAAGCTTTGATATTAAACTCTGAGATGTTTTGCAGTGGCTCATTAACCAAATTGCTGGTATGTTTTAAGGAGTGTGCAGAGCAGCCCTCTGAGCTGTCGCCTCAGCCGCCGCCTCAGCCGCCGCCTCCGTTCAACAGCCTCAGCCTGTCTGTTCCCAACGGCCTGCTGCTGCAGTTTCAGCTTGACAACTCACAAGGTCAGTCTGAGCCGGAGGGAAACTACGGCAACTCGCAAGCTGCTCAATCAGCCCCTTCTCAGTTTCAACGCCTCTCATTTCTTACTTTGGAAGAAAACCTTTTTTTTTGTTGCAAAAAATATTCACACCCATTGAAGTTTTTCCATCATTTTGCTACTTTACAACCGCAAATTTTATTGTATTATATTTTGTATTTTATATGACAGATGTTTAAAAATGTGTTTATATATGACATCCATTTGTGTTGATCACTCTTAAATAATCCAGTGCAAACAACAGCTTTCAAAAGTTCCCTGATTATTAAATAAGAGTATGCCTGTGTGTTTAAAACTGTTTCTGTTAAGTTGTTTCTGGAAGGTTAATATTTACCAAATGAAGGTTCTTCCTGGAACTGCTCTGTGTGCAGGAGAGTCCCCTGAATATGGCGTTTTGATCAGGCAGAGCTTTCCCTTCCACTGTAAACCCGGGAAGGATCTGCCGGACAAATCTCTTTCTCAGGAACTGCGTCGCATCATTACCAACCAGGGAGTCGTGATTCGTTACCTGAGAGACGGCGCCGCAGAGGTACGCACACAGTGATGCTGCCAGGTCTTCAATCCGGTGTAAGAAAGATGGTCATCTGCATGTTGTCAAAGCTTGAAGAGACGTTAAGTCTCTCTTTTTCTTCAGATTGATATTAGATCACCACCAGGTGATGACATAAACATAAATCCTAATCTGCTTCTGTCCGTGTTGTAGTTGCTGTTTGCAGATGGATCGGTCAGTTTCAGCCCAGGTCCAGGTTCAGCTCCAGCTCCAGCTCCAGCTCCAGGTCCGGTATCTGATGATGAGCGGACAGGTTGGACTTCTTCATGATAAGCTTTAGCAGCAGTTACAAAGGAAACTTTGTCCAACTTGTTTTTTGTTTGTGATCAGAGGAGACCTCAGAGAAGGAAAATGAGCGTCAGAAACGGTCGTGGCAGACGACCACTTCAACTGGAGATCGGATTTGGACCACTGGGCCAACATACAGCGTCGTACCCACAACCTCTCTGTGCACCTTCTTGGCCACAGACCCCGTCACCCAGGAGGCGAGTTACTTCAGATCAAGTTACCAGGCTTCAGTTTTAAGCAGAAGAAATATTATCAGTGTGGTTTTCTTACCATAACAAGTAAATTATTCCATTATCGTCCAAAAAAATTGACGATGTTAAGGAGTAACTTTTTTTTACTTCATTTTTACTTTGTGAGATGAAAAACAGAGCATTCATGTACAGGCATTTATTACCACAAGACAACTATTTAAAGTTTCGATGTTAGGCTTCTGTAATTTTACTACATTGACTCTGTAATATTAGAAATCCACTAAGTCCACTGTAAAAATTTTAAGCCATCAATGTATCGGCATCTGACTCTCAGAGAGTCAAATGTAACATCACCATCATTAAGTATACCTTCTGCATTAATCAGATGGGTTTTTTTCCTGTTTTTATCTAATCTCGGTGAGCCGGTCTGAATTAAAGCCTCAGTTTCATTTTCTTACCATTCGGGAGTAACACCAGTCTTCTGCTGCTCATCTGTAGCTCATCTGCTTCATGGTTCACAGTATTTTGCATTCAGAAATGCTATCCTGCACACCTTGAACGTGTCTACCTGTTCTGCTTTATGCCTCTGTCACTTTAGACTCACTTCAGTCCACTTTGTTCTCATTCTGAGGCTCCGTTTGAATTTTAGAAAGTTGAATTCTCCACATAGAGATATAGAAATGCATATTTGCATATGTAGGTGTGCATGCAGACATGGAAATGATTCTCTGTTTGCATGAATATGCAATTGAACAGGTGGACCTAATAAAGTGCTTGGTGAGTATGTATAAAAGTGATCGTCATGAATCAGTTTCTTGTGGTTTTCTTATCGAGTATCTAAAAAAAACCCCAAAACAAACCTTTAGTGTGTTTAGAGGAAGTTTGAAAACCCTTCTGAAGGTTATCTGGACCATTTTAGGATGCTTAGAAATAAAAATTAATAATTTATGACTTACAAATCTAAATTTATAAACCGCCTGTTCATTAATACAAGAAATGATGCCATGAACTGAGCTTTTAATTCATTAAAACTCCTCGCTACGCCTGCTGTTGTCAGGTGATGCTGACCCGGGAAGATCTGGTGGTTACAGTCAAGAGCCCAGATGGATCTGTTATTGCTGATCATGCAGACGGAACAAGGATCACCACCCTCTTTCTAGTCACACCACCTAACGGTAAAACACACACATTTAGCCGTCTGACACCACCCAGTTTATTCACACTGTGATGTCACAAACACGGCAGTCTCTGCTGCTTTTTCCAGAGGAGGCGTCCAATTGTGTGACCAAACCAGAGGAGCATGAAGATGTTTGTGACAAAGGAGAAGGGATGAGCGAAACCTCGGAAACCCACGAATTGAACGAAACGGTTTCAAATGGTAAGAGTGAGGAAGAAAAAGACTCGACCAGAGAGCGGGTGGTGATTGTGGAGAAGGAGGGCTGCGCATCGGTAGTGATGTACCCGAAACGCCACGCAGCTCACGTGTTTCTAGCCGATGGAACCATCATCACTGGGAACAACCAAGCGGAGTACGAGGTCTGGCTCACTGTTTACGCTTCGGCTTGTGTGTGCAGATTCTTTCATTCGTCATTCCTAGACGTCGTTTCTGTGTCGTAGGTGTTCCCGTCTAGAGACGGGTTTCTGCACATCCAAACTGATGGGAAATGTGTTTACACCTCTGACCTGGAGCCAAATGCTTCCTCCCCCTCCAACCGACCAGGAGTTTACACCATGAGTCACACAGACGAAGTGGTGTGTGATGTTTCAGACAAGAACGGAAACCACTTCCAGGTCCGGTTCAGAAATAATTAGTCTGTGTTGTCAAGGAAATTCAACGTCCTAATTGTCATGTTGTCAAGACTGTGGAAAAAGATGCAAGAACAAGTTAAAACGGGACATATTTTTAGGTCTTCTGTCTCTAAAACATGACACTCATCAAAAAGAGCAAATCAATGTCTTTTGCATTATGACAAATAGTTTAGATGATATCAATCTGTGCTTTAGGTGGTAGAATGTGGACAGACTTTGCTGCTAACTACTAGTCCCGCTCCAGAAACTCCTACACAAGAGGAAGAAGAGGAGACAGACAAATCAAGGGCCACGCTTGATGTGAAACACAAAGATCGTTGTCCCAGGTAGCCACCAACGCACGCTTCATGATGGTTCTATTCAACTTCTCTAACCCTGAAAACACTGCTGTCCTTCGGGCCAGGACTCAAACCCATGATGGCCGCACTGAGGATTAAGACCTTTGTTTATGGGTCGCACGCTTCACCCAAGCACCACACATATATATACGTTTTTTTTATTTTTTTTTTTTTTTTTTTTTTTTTTTGCTACAGGATTTTTCTGGTGTATGAAGACGGTTCAGGCACTGAACTGCTGAACTCTCACACTGTGGAGGAGCTGCTCCAAGAGGCGTACTCTGACCCCACCATCGCACTGCTCAAGGAGCCTCTGCCAGACAGACTGGGTGCGCATTTGAAAATGCAGTAATCACTCAAGACCCTGCCTGCATTTCACAACAAGCAATTAAAATTAGCTCCCCATGTAGAGAGTTTGCTTCGTCATGTGTTCCAGACGAGTTTGGCATCACCATCCTGAAGCCGGGCCACCAGAGCGTCTGGTCCAAATGGGTGCTAAAGAAACAAAACCCTGACATCACCCCTCCAAACCTCAGGAACCGCTCCGATGAGTTCCACACTGCAGAGGTAACGTATATCTAAACACATCGTACAAGGCCAGGATCAAATGCACAATCCATCTGGGTTTCTCTCTCTCCCAGGTCAGCCCTCCGCTTGGTTCTGGTACCAGCGTTGCTCTGTCTCAGAAGGAGCGATGTGCCAGTTCTTTAGCGCGGCAGCGTGTCTGGAGCTGCCCGAGAGTCCTGGAGATCAGGGAACTCTCCCAGCACCGACCCTTCACCTCGGTGTTCCGAGACGCTGTAGATTCACGGCTGAAGGTTCACAAAGTCCCTGCAAAAATAATCCTGCTTCCTTTGCCTGAAACTTTTGGAGAGATAACAAACGTGCAGTAAAATGTGAATGCAGGGCTACATCGAGTGGCTGATAAAGAGAGAGGTGCTGGCAGAGCAGATGAAAGTGAAAGAGCTTCGCAGTGACGAGGAGACTGCTCAAGCCACAGATCTCCTCAGTCTCATTCTGGTACCAAAACACACACAGAGCTCAACCAAACCTACAGTTTGAGTGTATTCTGCAGAAATACAGACAATCTCTTCCTTTAAATTTGGACTTCTAAAACGAGTCCACATTTATTTTTCATGCAGTGTTAAAAAGCCACCGGGAATTCCCTTTGTAGTCTTTTGCAGAGTTGGACGATGAGAGTCACGGTTCTGATTCCAGGAGCTCAGATGTGAAAACTAAATCAGTTGCAGCGGACTATGCCAGTATGTACAGTCAGGGAGTCAAAGCATCAGCTGAGCAGTCAATTCTTTCAGAAGAAACTGACAACTTGGGTGCTGATGACACCTTGGATAAATCACAGCTGTACGTATGCGTTTTAATGAGTGGCTAACTCCCACATGAAGCCATAATTATTTTAAGCCTCCTCTCTGTTTTCCAGTTCTACTGCTAGAAAAGAGTCGAGATGGACTGAAAGACATGAGCTGTACAGGTAAACCGAGATGTAGACACTATTTTATTTATAAATGTGGCAAATCTTTATTTTTTTACTTACTTTACAAAAACACATAGCCTTACAAGCACCTCAACAACTGGGTCTAGAAATAAAACTATATACACACATGAACAGCAGGAGGCATCGGATTTAACAAAATCCAGTCTATCCAATGTCCATATACAGTCTTTTTATAGCTAATCCATTTGCCCCATTTTTCTTGAGTGTTTTTTCCTTCAGTCTTAAGGTGAGTGTAATTTTTTCCATTAGAAATATTTCTTGAACAATATCAGTCCTACTGATTGTGCGTGGGTGGTTCAGGTTTGAGCCTTTTCCAAATTACTGCTTTTCTTATTGCTGTCAGAAGTATTTTTCACCAAGTACTGGAAACGCCAATTAAAAATAAATAAATAAAAATAAGTTATTGCAATAAAAATTTCACTTTTTCCGCATCTCACGAGTCATGTGTTCCACACCAAATGTTACTACTGGCGGAAAAGACGAAGACGACAGGAAGTAATTGAAGGTTTTGTGGCTATGTATTCAGATGCTGACAGTGAAGCGATATTAAATCTAACATAATCTTATACATACAGTTCATACTTCCAATCTGAATCTTTTTACTCTATAGTCATTTTAAGTAGGGCCTTGAGTTGAATCTCCTGGGCAACTTGAGTCTCTCCGCGGCGTTGGACGCGTTGCCATGACAACGTTCGAGCCAGACCAATCGGAGCCGGTTTGGCACCGGCCTCTTCTTCCACGCCGTGTCGGGACAGAGAAACAACTGCTGCGTTCATCCACCTGCGCTGTTGTAAAACTCTCCTAACAGCATCTGAGTAAGAGACGTCTGGAAATCCACACCGTCCTATTTTAGGACCGCCTTCGCCCGTTTCTACGCTTTGCGTCGGAGTATCACGTCGGGCAATTTTCGCCTACTAGAATTTTCTCTTGCCTGTTTGAGAATCATTTCCTTTATCTTGGGGAAAGTTGATCAGTATCGACCTAGATGGTGCGTTGGGGTTCGGTTTTATTAATGCGAGTGAACAATGTTTCCGCTTTTTGCGGCGTCTGCCGAGTCGCAGCCATGTTCTTTGCCTTTAGCATTAGCATCATCTTCTAGCACTTTCTTTGCTTCAACTTGGCGCCTGTATATCCGGTTTTCCTGTCGTCTTTCTGTTCTTTGCTTTAGTTCCGCAACCCCTTTGAATAGTAATTGAACTAATATTCCGATTTAGATGTATGCACAGTTGATAGCCCAACAGCGCAGAACACTCACTCACTCCAACCGTCCATTTTCATCCGTTGCCAACTATTCAGCACATTTTCCACCTTAGGTTTCTGCTTTTTGTTTTAGAAAAAAGAGCAAAGGTGCTAAATTAGGGTTACCTTAATCTCATATCTCATATCTGCCCATCAGTAATTGTTGAATACTATGAGACCCCATGTTCTTGAACAGATTTTGTTGTCTATTTTTGGCAACAAGAAGGAATTGGGTAAATCTTTCTATGGAAACCTTTGCTATATTTACAGGGTGTCTGTAATGTGTCTGTAATTAAGGCCTTAAAATGTCTTAAATTCATTAAACCAGAGGTTCCCAAACTGTGGGGGGGCGCCGTCTGGATGAAACAAAACAAAACATGACTGTATGCGCTGGGTTTTTACCTTAGAATGACCAACTCTCTGTTATTCCTATGTCAATTTGATACAGTAGAGGCTTCCACACTTCCCATATTTGTGTCCTCTGTCACTTTTATCAGCAGTTAAAACAGTTTAGTCCGTTGTTAACATGTTGTAACCTGTTTTTCCGAGCCGCCTTTAAACGCAACATGAGCGCTATGACGCTAGCACTGGGTTTCCACCTGTGAAGGAGACCTGCTGCTGCTGGGCGGAGCTACGTAGGTTTGTGTTAGAATCACGGCAGCAAACCAGCAAAACGCAAAGAACTTTTCACAGTTTTTCCCTCCAAACTAACCGACTGAGTTGAGTGAAGCTGTTGGATGCAGGTAATGTTAGCTAAAAGATGACTAGCTAATGTTAGCTAAAAGATGACTAGCTAATATCAATACAGAACCTTAAGCTTAACAAGTACCTTGTAGGCTACTGATGTTGGTGTCTGTTTTCAGCTACGTACATTCATTTTGCCCCCAAAAAAGTCGATGCCCCCTCACCCCCCTCACAGGCCTCGTTTCAACCAGACAGCTATTTGTAATA